CCCAAAATGTTATTACCGGTAAATGGCTCTTTCGCCACAAACTTGGCCGTACAGGTGAACTGTCCAGGTACAAAGCTCGGTGGGTGGTCCGTGGATTCAATCAGCGCTTCGGGATCGACTATGAGGAGACATTCAGTCCGGTTGTGAAACCTGCCACGGTGCGTATTGTTCTTAGCCTAGCCTTGTCACGAGGATGGTCTATTCATTAGCTGGATGTGAAGAATGCCTTTCTTCACGGCACTCTTGAGGAGACAGTGTATGCCAGTCAACCATCTGGGTTCCAGGATCCCACACGGCCTTATTATGTGTGTCGACTGAAAAAGGCGTTATACGGCCTCAAGCAAGCTCCCCGCTCCTGGTATCACCGTTTTGTAGGATTTCTCCTTACCTTGGGCTTTCTTGGCTGTAAGAGTGACACATCTCTTTTTGTCTACACTCGTGGGGATGACAGGGCATATCTGTTGCTTTATGTGGATGACATTGTCCTCACCGCCTCCTCTTCCTCTTTACTTCACCGCCTCCTCTTCCTCTTTACTTTATGGGTGACCTCAATTTTTTCCTCGGGATTAATGTTCAGCGCACTTCGGAGGGGCTATTTCTTCATAAGACACAGTTTGCTCAGGAGATCTTGGAGCGGGCGAACATGCTGAACTTCAAGCCCGTCTCCACTCCAGTGGATACTAAGGCGAAGCTCGGGGCCTCATCCGGAATACCTCTTCCTGATCCCACTTTATACAAGTCCATCGTTGGTGCTTTGCAGTATCTCACATTCACCCGTCCTGATCTCACCTATGTCGTTCAGCAGTTATGCCTTCATCTTCATGCCCCTCACAGCACTCATCTTACTGACATAAAGCGTGTTCTCCGCTACCTTCACGGCACCACCACTCACGGGATTACTCTGCATCGCACCCGCACGGATTGCTTACAGGCCTATTCTGATGCTGATTGGGCAGGGTGCCTAGATACTCACCGCTCTACCTCTGGATATTGTGTGTTCCTTGGCGATAATCTTGTTTCCTGGTCCTCCAAGAGACAAGCTACTACACCCCGCTCGAGTGCTAAGGCTGAGTATCGTGCCGTTGCAAACGCCGTTGCCGAAGCAAGTTGGATCCGAAACCTGCTTCTCGAGTTACAACAACCTCTACGTCGCACTACTCTGGTCTTCTGTAACAATGTCAGCGCAGTGTATCTCTCATCCAACCCTGTTCAGCACCAGCGCACCAAACATGTGGAGGTTGACATTCACTTTGTCCGAGACAAAGTCACCCTAGGACAGGTTCGCGTACTTCATGTTCCCTCATCTTCCCAGTACGCCGACATCTTCACCAAAGGACTCCCATCACTTCTCTTCTCCGATTTCAGACATAGTCTCGGCATCCGTCCTTCATCGGTTACGTAGCTGGGAGCATGTTAAATATATGTTGTATATTTAATATATTATTATATATTTGGTAGTTTCCCTTGTATAGAAGGATTGCATTTATATCCTACCATAATTAGGAGACTTGTATCTTGCATATATTCGAGGCTTGACCTCCGAGATCAATATTGAAAATCATTATTCTTTATATATATATATATATATATATATATAGGGGTTGGTTCAGGTGAGAATGCACCTTGTTGAAAAACTAAGAATAAAATCTAGCCTTTGGATCTGATGCATCATGCGACTCAGATTGCATCCTGCGCTCAGATTTTGAGATGGTGCATTTTCAAAGGTTTTTGGTGCACCTAATTTTGATGCAATCCCGACCCTTAGATCTCACAATCTAAAGCACCGGATTCATTCTTATTTCTTTCATAAGATCGCATTCTCACTAGAACCAATATATATATATATATATATATATATATATATATATATATATATATATATATATATATATATATATATATATATATATATATATATATATATATATATATATATCTGTGTGTGTGTGTGTGTGGGATTGACTTTAGTGAGATGACACCTTATGGTGTCATGACATGCTTCGGTCAGATGACGCAAAGCTCGCCACTCCCCACTTCAAAGCTCGCCAAGCACAACTACAAAGCTCACCAAACTGTAAGGCAAAGCTCACCATATTTTTTTCAACACTTTGAATTTTTTTTTGAAAAAATAAAATCAAAGGAAGGGGTGCTGACTAGACTTTGACCGTTGACTCCAACATTGACCGCCTCCGCCGCCGCCAGTCGCCGGTCGCCGCCGCCCCTAGTCGCCGGTTGCCGCCGCCATACTCCGGTCGCTAGCCGCCGCCGGTCACCACCGTTGCTCCGCCGCATGCGACCGCCATTGACCGGTGGTTGACCGGTGTTGCTATTTTATTTTTAATTAATTTTTTAATTTTCAAAATTAAAAAAAAAGTGAGTTTTGGGGTTTGAAGTGGTGAGCTTTGCTTTATTTCCTGGTGAGCTTTGCATTGTCCATGGGCGAGCTTTGTAGTGTAGTGTAGTGAGCTTTGTGTCATCTGACCGAAGCTTGTCATCGCACCGTAAGGTGTCATCTCACTGGAGTCAATCCCATATATATATATATATATATATATATATATATATATATATATAAAGAGAGAGATTTTATTGATGAGGAAAAATAGAAAGGTACAAAGGCAGGGTTGGCCGACCCCAACAAGAGGCCAAAACCAAGAATCCAAAAGCATAATAAAGACCCGAAGCACAAACAACCTAATGATGATGTACAAAGGACTATGAAGACCCAAAAATATTCAAAAGCTCACAATAGAAATTTCCATTCAGCAGGATCCCTAGTGATATGTGGCAATGGTTCCCTGTCCTGCAGCCTATTCCTTCAACGAAGATCAGTAGCCAGAGGGGATTCTAGCAATAATTAGAGAACAAAAAGTAATTGGATGTGCAATAACAAAGATGCACACTAGCCTTCAACTCTAGCTCCCATAGCGAGTAAAACAGATCCACCAAAAGAAAACCAATGCCTAAGACTACCAATCCCATAAACCCAAGGGCAGATTCCAACTACAATGGATGACCAAAACAACAAACAACAAAATTGAAAGGCCAAGAAAGTTAAAGAGACTCGTGCCTACAGTGAAATCCTAAATCAATCCTGATCACCACACAAGTGAGCTAGAACGACATCCATGTCTTCATTCGCATAAGCAAGGTAGACCGAGTACCTTGCTCCTGCAAATGTAGCAGCATCAATATACTCAAAGCTTTTCATAGCCTCCCTTGTAACACTAATGACTTCCCCTGAGTAACTAGGAATATGTCCTTTGTTTAAAGCATCCACAAACTACTTGTTGGCAATTGATTTCTTGAAGAGATTAATGTTATCCCGAATAACTTGATGAAATATCTTCAGGTAGTCCTGGTCTATAGGAACCTCTGCCAATGAGGTGTGCTTCTGCAGATTTTCCAGCTATGTTTCCATAGTGTTATCTATAAAGAGTCTATTTTCAAGATGCTGCTGCTCTTCACATACACACACACACACATACATACATATATACACACACACAGATATATATATATATATATATATATATATATATATATACACACACACACACACATACATACATATATACATGGCAAAAAATGACCCAAACTGTTTTGGCACGAGACACGACCTGAAAATACTGGGTTTTGACATACCCGAAATGACCCTCTAAAAATGAGTCAAACACCATCGAACTCGAACCTTACCGACCCGCTAATTTAAGAATTTTTCAAATTCATATACTTTAATATGAAATATAATATTATAAAAATAAGATGAACTTTGGGTCAAATACGATGAACTTTGGGTCAAAAAATAAGACGAACCTTACCTCCCCGCCCAGTTTATTTTTTTCGAGTCCACTTGGACAAATTTTGAACTCCAACTAATCTCAACTTATATTGCATATTAGTAAAATGAAATAAAATTTTGAAAGTTTTTAACAAGATTAATTAATAAAGTCATTTGTATTCTAATATACTCATATACCTTCCCTCCTTTCAGAGATGGACAACGCCATGCTTACTGCCCTCCCCTCCTTGGAGGAGGTCAAAAACGCTGTTTGGGCCCTAGAGAGCAACAGCGCTTCAGGACCGGATGGCTACAACGGCCTTTTCTTTAGAACCACTTGGGATATCATCAAGCAAGACATGCTGAAAGCCTCCCAAGAGTTCTTCTTAGGGTTTGCCATTCCCCGTGCTTTTGGAAGCACCCTAATCACTTTAATCCCTAAGAAGGATTGCCCCAAAAGCTTTGACGACTATAGGCCCATTTCTTTGAGTACTTTTATGAGCAAATTTAATACTAAAATTTTAGCTTGCAGGTTAAAAACCATCCTCCCTAAGATTATTTCCAAAAAAGCGGCGTTTCAAAAAGGGAAGTGCATGTCTGACCACATTCTCCTCGCTATGGAAGCTTTGCACAACTTGAATAGGAAAACATTCGGAGGAAACATCATCCTTAAAATTGACATGGCAAAGGCGTTTGACACCCTACGTTGGGACTACCTGGAGGCGGTTCTTCTGGAGTTCGGTTTCGGCACCAAAGCAGCTAGCCTTCTCATGGCTAACCTAAAAGGCAGTATGCTCTCAGTCCTCATTAACAGGCAACCTGCGGGCTACTTTCCCATGACTAGGGGTGTCAAGCAAGGCGACCCTCTTTCGCCTCTTCTTTTCATTATTGTAAGTGAAGGTTTGTCTCGCCTACTTAACAGAAGCATGGAGGAATCCCATATCCACCACTACAACATGGGAAGTGTGAAGTTTATAGGCCACCTCACCTATGCGGATGACATAATGATCTTTACTAAAGGTGACTCCGTCAACTACTCAAGCTCAAGAAGCTGCTGGATGAATACTCTTCAGATTCTGGTCAGGTCATTGATCCAGCCAAGAGCAAGTTCTACGTCAAAGAAACCACTAACAGTACCTAGGGGTGGGCACGGATCGAGACGGTCCGGATTTTAGGTTGTTCCGGTCTTGTCCCGTTCTATATAAACGGTCCGGAACGGTTCGGATTACAATCTTATCCCGGTTTGTCCCATAAAATTCGGGATCGGAACAAACCGGGACGGATTCGGGTCGTCCTACTTTGTCCTAATCCCAAATATAAGAGGGGGGGGGGGGTACTCAATCCAAAAGTCACAAAATGTCATAGATAAAAGTCATTAACTTCCTAAGACATCCAAAAACTATTTGTGTTCATATACACCAAGCAATTAGCTACTGTCATTCAAAAAACAAAAGCAGTAGGTAGTATTGAAGTTAACTTAATTAATTAAAGAATGAGTGTATAGAATTAGAATTATATATTAATAAAATAGATAAAACGGGACAAACGGGGCGGATCGGTATAAATTTAAGTTGTCCCGCTCATGTCCCATTTGATAACGGGACGGAACGGGTTCGGGATAAAAAAGTTGTGTCCCAATTATTCGGTACATTTACAAAACGGATTCAAGATTTTTCGGAACGGTCCAATGGGAACGGATTTCGTGCCCACCCCTAACAGTACTCACCTGCAGAACATGGAAAAAATCCTTGGCATGCATATAGGAACCTTACCCTTCACCTACCTTGGAGCTACCATTTGCAAAGGGAAACTAAAAAAACACCACTGTGGCAACCTCATGGATCACTTTGACAAGCACATTCACTCGTGGTATAGCAAAACACTGAACCAAATGGGTCGTCTTATACTCATCAAGCACGTGCTTTTGTCCACCCCCCTACATATTTTAGCTGTGCACTCCCTCCCGGTGGCTTTCATCAATCTTCTTCATTCTAGGATGGCCAATTTATTTTGGGGAAGAAGGCACGACAACCAACTACACCAATAGAAGAGTTGGAAACGTCTCTGTCAACCCTCAAGCGCTGGTGGGCTGGATATTAAGGATCTTCAAACACTTCAACAGACCCAATCGATCAACCTCTAGTGGCGGGTGAATCATGATACGGGTGTCTGGGCTAACACCATGTGAGCCATTTACATGCGCACGGGCACAAACAAAGAGAAATTCACTGATTCCACGCCATGGAAGAGAATTTTCCGGGTTCACTCCTACGCCGTCTCTCACATTAATGACTCTATGCAACCTCCACTTTGGGATGGGAAACCGTTCTCCTCCAAGAATACCCTCACCTCTCTTTATGGCATACTACCTTCCCGGCTTTCTTGCAAGTACATATGGCATAAAGCCCAGACTCCCAAACTCCGAGTCTTCCAATGGAAAGCTTTCATGAATTGCCTACCCTTCCCGGAGTTAATCAAGTGCTTCAGCTCTTGTTTCCCTAGCCAATGTCCGCTATGCAAGCAAGCAGAAGATTCCTTAGACCATACTCCCGGAAATTGCAAGTTTGGCTACCAGGTTTGGAAGTACTTTGGCACTCTCATTGATGCTCCCATGTTAGCGCCCAACCTCAAACTTAACCAAATTTTCATCAGTTGGTGGTTCTCCGGTGATACGTTCTCCTTCAAAGGGGTTCTGCGAGTCATTATGCCCGATGTCATCGCTTGGCACCTCTGGAAGGCAAGGAACTTAGCAATTCATGAAGGTCAAATCCACACCACGGAAGGTATCATCCAACAGGGTTTTAAACGTATTCAAGCATGGAGTTGAGCTTCACGATGCAAAAAATGGTTGATCCACGATAACACCTTCAGGGGTTGGGGTTTAGATTTATTTTGGATAAATGGTAGCAAACTTTTGAATGTGGTGTAGTTAGGCCTTCTCTTTCTTGTACTTCCTCTTTTTTTCAGTATTAATAAAGCCTCTTTTTTTAAATATACACACACACACCATTATGTCTTTTGTTTTAATTTTATTGAGATATATACTCACTTACAAATATAAACAGTATCAATAAAGAACTTTCCTTTAGAAGAATACTTTTAAAACATTCACTTTCCCTTGCATCAAATGTTGTGCATAACCTATTTTGAAACTCTTGAATAAGTTTTTTGTTTCACACCTTGACCGCAACTTGATTACATTTGATTTTCGTTATCAAAACTTAGGAGAATGTGAAATTATATTTGGAATACAAATATTCATGTAATAGCACATTTTCGATTTCATAACTCATATCACATCTACCCTGAAAATCTTACAAAATGGGTCCTTAATATCATTAGATTCATTGGGAGAGAACTTTGAACTACATGTATAAAACTTTTATAAAATACAAAGTATTTATTATATGTAATTATATGTATTGATGGCAGTTCTTTTCTTAGTGCTAGAATGTACGTAAATCTATAAAAAGATAATGATTGTAAAAAATTTAAAATCAAAGATGGTAAAATTTAGTAAATAAAAGCAGTAAAATTTATTTAGAGAACAAAGAAAGGATTACATAAGTAGTATTAAATCTAGGAAAAGAGATTGGTGATTAAAGGACGTGGAGAGCATTTAACAAGCAAAGGATGAGTCATGGCAGAAACCGTGAATCCACTTGTTCCATCGCCCTCATCAGTTGTCTCATTGTTGTCATCATCAACCTTATCCCACTCAAAACACTGTAGTAACGAGGCTATGGCCAACTCCAAGACACGGAGAGCCAAGTTCTCGCCTGGACACCTTCGTCGGCCTGACCCAAATGGGATGAACTCGGACCCGTTTCTCCCGCCCCCATAGCCTTCCACGAACCACCTCTCTGGACTAAAAACCTCAGGCTCTGCCCAAACCATAGGGTCACGATGGATGCCCCATGCGTTGACCACCAACATGGTTTCTCGAGGGATGTGGAAACCAGAGATCCTGCAATCCTCTGTGGAGAAGTGAGGCAGCAATAGTGGCGCTGCCGGGTGCATCCGTAAGGTCTCATTGACGATGCAGCGGATGTACGGGACATTTGGCAAGTCAGACTCATCTATGATGTCGTGGTTTCCGACATATTTGTCCATGTCGGCTCGTGCCTTGCTCAACACCTGGGGGTTGTCGAGGAGATATGAGAATGCCCACTCCAAAGTCACAGCGGTTGTATCAGAACCTCCTTGGAGCAATACCTTAAAAAGTTGCAACCAATCTGTAAGTTAGGTATAATACTAGCTAGTCCCTCCATTCTTAATTATTGATGCGTGATTTCAATTTTTGATACATTAAAAATTAAATGAACATAAGTACACATAGAATTTCATTTTGTAGAGTAAACATGCTTGCACCGCTAAAGCCTGTATAATCAGACATAGAGATGAACCCACGTCATATCGGTCGAGTTAACCCAACCCATGAGTGAGGTTCAAAATGTATCCGCTAAAGTTGAGAGAAAGGTTGGTGGAAAAGCTTGTTTTGCAAGCAGGTTAAACTAGTGGAGACGGTGTTTCATGTGGAGCAAGATACCCAGACAAATTTACTGTCACTTTACCTAAGATGAATTGCTAATGACAGGATATATACGCTCAATTCAGCCTAATTAAGACTCCAAAATGGATAGGTTATTTGTAATATTATATTGAAGACAAAGTACTCCTAGCTAGATGATCCTAAAGAGGTGCAACTTTTATTAAGGAGAGATCTGAGTTATGTCATCCATGAGAGCATGCAGTCTTGCAAGGTTACTTCTGGCTGACAATAATGAAGGGATATGTTGCAGAGATGTGAAATATGTCAATAATTCAAGGAGGTACCTAGCTTATAGGCCTGTAACTGTCTACACTCCAATCTACTTATTAGTTATCTCCTTTTTCATGTTGGAGCATTAACCTTATCGGTGTCCTCCCATGGAGGACTGCTGGGGTTTTATGTGTAGTGGTGAAAGTGGCCATGGATTACTTCACCAAGTCGGTGAAGGCTACTTTGTTGGCTAGCATTACAATGGCACAAATGAAAAAAAATTAGGAAAGCATATTGTTTTGCAAACAAGGCATTCTAGAGTAGATTATCATAGGAAACAAAAGTTAGTTTGATTTTAAGGGCTTCGTTGAATTTTGTAAGGGCTAGGAATCAAGTATAGGAAAGCCTTCGTTGCTTACCCACAAACCAACTTAAAAGTGAAAATGCAAACTAGATGACTTTGGATGGTCTCAAGAAAAGGCTTCACGCGTAAGAAGAGGTGAGTGGGTGGATAAACTACCACTGGTTTTATGGGCATTTTAGACGCACTACACATCACAAGGCAACTAGGAAAAATTATTGGAGCTCACATGTGGTTATGATTAATTAAAGGGCTCTAATTAAGGTGGTCATTTTGAGCAGAATGTAGAAAACGTAAGATCTGATAGAGAATGAACCAAAGTAAGACCTCCATCTAAAATTCCTTGAAGAAATAAGTGAGAAAACCCATTGTAAGGTAAATAAGTATTGCAAGTAGGTGAAGAAATACTTTGATCCCTTGGCCAAAGGTCAGAGCTTTCAGATTAGAGATTACATCTTGTATAAAAGATAAACGAGCAAGCTCATGGAGTATGTCAAGTTTACAAAATCCTATGAGAGGCCTATTTTTTCAAAGTAATAGTGCGTCCAGGGAATAATAAACGTGTCACTCTTAAGGGAAAAGAAATCAATAGAAAATTAAATATGAAGCACCTTATATATATGTTTCCATAAGTAAAAGGCATTGAACTTGGGTAAAGCGGAACCCTGCTTAGAACTTTTTTTCTAATTTTTTTACTTAGGCATTTACCACCAAGAAAGGCATTTGACATAGTTTTGAGGCATCAAATCCAAGTTAAGGAAAAGTTATGCCTGGGACCTTGTCAAGATAGAAAGTTCTTCACAAGGAAAAGGAATGATCTTAGTAGTGGGTAGTACTAATAAAATAAGTCTTAAACACTCTACGTATCAAGCCTCGCACTAGCAAGATTTTAGGAGATGAGGCTTACCTCAAACATTTATTGGGAAATTAAACAAGCAACACACACAAATAATATGTGAGAAACGAGAGAAACGGAACACGGACGACACACAAGAATTTAATGTGGTTCGGTTTCCCTACTCCACGGCTGTAACAGGAGGATTTCTATTTCACTTGTCGTGTCACACAGGAATTACAAGTACAAGGGCTAATATAGGAGAAAAAACCTAGGGTTACATAACATGGGCCGGGCCTACAAGTCAAACCCAAGCCTCCACGAACCCAACATTCTCCCACTTGGAGGCTTGATAATCATCAACTGCCATCCACCACGATTGCCTGTATATCAAGTAATCTTCCTCAGCTCTCATGTTGCAGCGGCCCTCTCATCAGACAACTGAAAGGCCCGTTGAAGCTCTCCCAAGCTCCAACACATCAGTCACGGCAAAATACGCAACATCCTGAGAACTAACACTCTCTATACTGATCAAGAAATTTTCTGGAGATGTTCCAACAGCTAAAATACTGGTTCTCTTGACCCACTGTCTTCTAGAAAACTTGGCTAAAGTGCCTCTTGAGCTCCCACTGCCACAAATACCTCTGACTGGCCTCCTTGAACCTTTCCTCGCTCGTTCATCCTGAGTCTGACCTGTGGCTCTAGGTTTCTCTCTTGCATAGACAACCTTATTTTGCCCACGAGACTCTGTGAACCGGACTTTGTTTCTCTTCTGAACTAGGGCGGTCACTCCCTCAAATGGTAACTCAACCATATACAGCGAACCTCTCTTCTTTCCGCGGGTCATGACAAGATTTCCCTTCACGGCCTTCCACTGCCCATCTCTAAACTTCACCTCATGTCCCTGTTCGTCCAACTTCCTAACAGAAATCAAACTTTTCTTTAAGGCTGGAACCACTCTGACATCTTTCCAAGTCCAGAAACCGACTAGGGTCTTCAACACCATGCCGCCCATGCCCGTCACCTTAAGAGCTCTATCATCCGCAAGTCGTACCTTTCCATAGTCCCCAATAACCAGATTCTGCAATGCTTCACCGCTGTGGGTAGCATTAAATGAAGCACCAGAATCCATGAATCCACATTGCTTTCCTCACAGCAAGTCAGAGTGACCTCCTCGTCACTCGTAGAGCCTTTAGCAATGTTTACTTTATTACCATTTGGGCATTGATTCCTAAGATGTCCCACCTCCTTGCACTTCAATTCCAGCACGTTACACCCGAGCTGTCACGAGTCTTTGACTAACTCCTTTGTCTGTTCCTGCTCCCACTACCTCTGTTATTTCTTCTTCCTCTACCAACATGAAGCAATTCAACAGATGACTCCCCTAAACTCTTTCTTTTGACATCCTTGCCAAGAACAAGATCTTGCCGCTGTAACCGTTCCGGACCAACTATCAGGCAAAGACGATAAGAGTAATAAAGCTTGAACTTCATCATCGAACTTAATCTTCACTGACGCAAGTCTGGTTAAGATCGAATTCATCTTATTGATATGCTCGGTAACTGAAGTGCCTTCTTTCATCCTTGTGTTCACCAACTCTCTAATCAAAAAAACTTTGTTCGCTACAGATGGCTTCTCGTACATGTTAGACAGCGCTTCCATAATTCCCTTCACTATCTTCTCCTTCAGAATGTTGAACGCAACATTCTTGGTCAACGAGAGACGAATCGCGGACATAACTTTCCGATCCAAACCTGCTCAATCTGCATCCGACATCTTTTCTAGCTTGTCACCCAAACCCACGTCCAAATCTTTCCGAACCAGCAAATCTTCAATTTGCATCTTCCACCAACTCAGTACCATCGAACTTCTCAATTCAGAACTTCCCATCTTCTGCCATATCAAATGACTAGACGAGATACCCGGTACAAAAATTTCAGATCTTGGAAATTTCGTCAGAAAATGAGGCCCACCACACCAATTAAATTAGCCAAAACAAATCAGCCTAAAATCCAACCACCGAAAAAAAAACAGGCCAAAATATGATAAAGCCCAATAAAAAAGGGCTCATCTAGGGCATGATTTTTTTCCGTTTCTTCCTTTTACACATAGATACCCGGGAGGTTAGACACAGAGAAGGCTAGGATCTTGCAACTGATTCATGAAGTCAGAGATTGGAGGTCTCAGTTCTGATCCTAATCGCAATCATGATTATTGGAGTAGAAAAGAGAAGTCACAATGGCTATGCGAAGAAGTGCAAAAGTTTGGAAAGTATGAATGCGTGGGAGACGATTGACCGATTACCACAACCAATTATATGGTGAAAAGAAGTCAAATCACCAATGACGCATTTTATGGTACGCGCCATTTGCGCCACCGATGGCATTAGTGTTCCTAAAGAAGGCATACTAACTATAGGTTTCTGAGTGAGATCATGTAGAGGTTTCTAGAGTACGAGTTGCTTATATACATGCGGTCAAAGATCTGTATGCTAGAGTGAGGACTAAAGTGAACGCAGTCGTGCGATTTGGTATTGAGACGACAACAATAGAGTAACATTAGAGACTTCAAAACTAACTATAAACCTTCACTACCTCCAACATCCCCAGAGAAAGTACCATCATCATCCAACACAAATTTTATCTCATCATTTCTAATGAAATCTCAAAGAGTTTGTCATGCCCACGACAGTTGGAGCTTTTTCAAATCATGGCTTTGGGAATGATATCAAATCCTCCTCCACTCAATAATGAACATTATGTTTGGTTCAAGAATTTTGGAAGAAAAAAAAATTGTTTCTCATTTCCTCATCAAATTGAGAGAAATTTGGTTCCCCCACTTAGCATATTTTACTTTCTTTTTTTCTCTTGCATTTTTTGCTCAGTAACTAAACAAGAAAAATCATTTTTTACTTCATTATTACGACATCAATATAAAACTAAAGTAATCCATGGGAACATCATGCGTCAAAAATATAGAAAAGCAACTAAACCCTAGCCACAAGGAGAGAGAATATACTCCCTCCATTTTTCAAAACAATTGCTCTTTCATTTTTTTGTTTGCAATAAAGCACTTTCATTTGAACAAAAAATGACTAATATATTCAAATAAAGTTGTTGTAATATACTACTCCCTCCGTTCCTTTAGACCCTTTCCAATTTGACTTTGGGCTAAAATAAGAAAAGTGTAATTTTGGCTGACTTTCCAATTTTGCCCCTGATGTGATGGTAAATGTAAGATGCGATAGTTTCGTTATTAGTGAAAAAGTATGATGTAATAGGTAGGGTATGAAAAGGTAGATGTAAAAGTAGTTTTTCAATAGAAAGTAAAAGTCTTTTAAGAAATTGGAAAAAAACAAAAGGATAATGGTTTTATCTTTTATGGAACGGAGGTTGTACTTAAGATTTCAATGTTTTCTGAAATTTAATTAAATTTAAAACTGACTATAGAGCTCTTTTATTTAAAAGTGATCTACGATATTAATTATCATCATTATTTTAAAAGAGTAATGGACCCATTTGATGTGATTATCTGTTTCCAATCACCACCATAAGCAGGACCATTATCATCCACTAATAAACATCCTTAAAAAAACATAATCTAGAGTACTCTGTTATTATTGGAGCTTGATTAAATAATTAATTATATTATGGGCACGGTTTCGTTCACATTGGCTTACGGTACCGCTCGCAGTATCACTGCATTTTTGGAACACCTCCGGTATTTCGTTCACAAAATTGATACTTTCTGATTTACTCCCTCTAACCACCCCAAAACCCCACACCCCAGCCACATATTGAAGGGGGTTTAGGGCGAGACTGGGGCAAATAATAGTTTAGGTGGTGGGTTAGAGTGGTATCGCAAGTGGCACCGATGGCCAATGTTAACGGAATCGTGCCCATTATATTACGGAGTAATTAATTAGTGGATAGATCTTACCAGCATAAGATTTCTGATGGTCTCATCGGTATACCTTTCCGGTTCCGAGCTCTGCAACTCCAACAGAACATCCAAAACGGTCTTACTATCCGCCGCCGTTGGTTCACGCCGCCGGCCGCCGTGAGACAGACCGGAGCGGTGGTCGTCTATTACCCTCTGCATGAACTCGTCTCTCTTCTCGAAGATCCCCGCCAGCTCATCCTCGATATCTCCGAACCCGAACCATCTCATGAACGGCAGGAAGTCCAAAACGTTGGCTTTGGGAATCACTCTTATTTGGTTTCTTGATATTTCTTGGAACAGCTTCGCCGCCTCGGAGTTCGCGGCGGCGCCGCCCCCGTAATACTTTTTCCCGAAGATCATTCTGGACATCACGTTGAAGGTGAAGTCATGCAAAGGCGGCTTCAGTTCTACCTGCATTATATTTCGACCTCCATGATTATTGATCTTTTTTTTTTTTGAAGGCATGATTATTGATCTATTTTTACTGTTTTTTAGTACTACTTCAATTCCTCCCTCCCGTAATAATATTTTGATTATAAAATTATTTCATATTCCCTATAAAAATTGATGTTGAATTAATAAATTCAATTTATATATATTCAAAATTTACTTTAAATACGCTACAAAATGAGCGATAATGATATTATTTTATTTTATCAAATACTCCGTAATTAATAATTTGGGCATTATTATGAAGTAGAGGGAGTATTAATTTTATTAGGGAGTACAATAAAGTCTATGAATCGGAGTTCCATTTATACCTTACCCAGAAGTATTTATTTTTAAATGTAACCATCCTAAAAAATGTAACAATAAATTAATAATGATCCATTTCAAATATAGAGAAAATATAGATTCTGATCATTAATATTTTTTGTTTTATACGGAAAAACTGTTTATAACATGAAAATACATTAAAGTTTCAAACTACTCCCCTCTATTTTAGTACTCCCTCTGTCCCGCAAAAAATTCTCCTTTCGTTTTTTTGTCCCAAAAAAAAGTTTCAATTTGTTATTAAAAGTCAATTATACCCCTCCATCCCAAACCCTAACAAAACTAACCTAACCCACCCCCACCCCTTAGAATCTTCTCTCTCCTCCTCTTCCCCTCTTCCCCTCTTCCAATTCCCTGACTCTCATCTTCTCCCTTCATCTTCTCTCAGATCTAACCTCTATCTCTCTTCTCCTCTCTGGATCCATGAAAAATCGCGACCCTACGATTTATATTGCCTATTAATAGAATACTTTTTTTGAAAGTTCTAATTAACTTAAATCTAATGAAATTGTTTTACTCCCTCCGTTCCATAAAACCCTTCCCATTTCGTTTTTTGGTTTCCACAAAACACTTCCACTTTCTATTAATAAACTACTTTTAGAGCAACTCCAAGGGGTAGTCTATATTGTAAAATATACACTATATACAATTTAATGTTGTCTTTTCAATATTCCAATGGATAGGGTAAACCAGGTGGTAAAATGCAATGTAGTGTAAAAAGAAATCTCCAAAGTGCATTTTTACAAGTTCACTATAGATAGTGGAAAGAATAAAAAATTAATTTTCTTCATTTTTTTCATTCCCTCTTCTCCATTTTCATATGTACAAGGTATTTATTAAGTCTTTTTTAAAAAATCATTAAAAATAAGTAACTTAAAACAATAAAATATTATAAAAAATGTATTATATAGAAGATATGGTTGGAGTAAGTATAAAAAATAGAAATGTAAAACACTATTGATAGTGTAAAATGAAGTTTACACTACCAATTTTTACACTACACCTTTTTTTTAAATTTTTTTCATAGGGGCACATGTGCTCATTTCTTATTTTTGTTTATTCCTTTGTTTATTCCTTTTTTTTAAAATTTTTTATATCTCTTTGTTTCCCTTTCCTAGAAAAGTTTTTTAAATATCTTTTAAATTTTTTATAATGTTTTTAAAAATTCAAAACTCTTTGTGTTTGAAATAAAAAAAATAACATATACTCCATCTATCTAAAATTAGACATTTTAACTTTTTGTTTTTATAAATACGGAGTAATATTTTTTGTAAGTTCAAAAAGAAAATAAAAATATGTGAAAATAAAATGAAAAAAATGAAACATCTAAAAAAGTCTTGTACAAAAAGGAATTTTAAAATGCCTAAAAAGTTCTTAGAATTAGGATGTCCAACAAGGATATTCGTTTTTTTCATTTTATTTCTTATTTTATTCCTCATTTTTTGATGTTCTCAAAGAAAGTTTTAAATTTTTTATTTTAGGAAAAAAAATAAAATTGTTATAAGAGGCGTACATATGCAATATATGTTATCTTTTTAAAACAAAAATAATTTTAAATTTAAGAACATTATAAAAAAATTAAATAAGAAATTTAAAAAACTTTGATTAATAAAAGAAACAAAAAAGGGAAAAACAAAAAATAAATGAAAAATAAGAAATGAGCACCGGTTCCCCCTATGGTTTGAAAAACAGACACCAATGCCTCCTTCTTCGCCCGGAAATTAATCAAAGGGGTGTGGGTGTAACATTTTGAAACCACGATGACTTTAAAAATAAATTTTGAAAATATGGGGGTATTGATGTCTTTTTTTCAAACTACGGGGATACTTGTGCTATTTGGCCATACAAGTAATATACATGTACCTTGTTTATATGCAAATACTCCCTCTATCGCAAATTAAATTACTTGTTTACTATTTACAAGGTCAAACTTTTATTCACTTTCTTTTTCTATTTTCGTTAGTCATTTGATAAAATCATATATTCATGTTGCCACTAATTTTGTAGATCTTTTGATATACTCCGTAGTTTAGAAATATGTAATTTTTATTTTTAATTCTATATCATTCTTCATCTAAAATGATTTGAAATAACTTTATCTAGTACCCTAAATCAAAATAAATTATTTAAATTAGTAGGAAAAGTAGCATTTTTAAATTCAAAAAGTTGGAATATGTGACACATTAATATGAGAGGACTTCCTTAAAAAGGAAATAGGAAATTGACTCATTATCACAATTATCTCACCATGGGATCACAAGTGGAGAGGTGAAAGAGATTGCGGACCAACTCCTTGACCTCCTCAGCACGGATTCCGGCCAACTGCTGGATTCTGTACGAGGAAAGCACTTCCACGGTGGAGATTCGCCGGAGATTCCTCCACCGTTCCCCGTACGGCGAAAAGGGGAGGCTGGTAAAGTTATACCCCAAATGTTTCCCGGTGAGGAGTTTGGGCCGGTTGGCGAAGACGACGTCGTTCTTGGTGAAGCACTCCTCCGCCGCCGCCGCCGATGACACGAGGACCACCGGCCGCGACCCGAACCGGAGGAAGAGGACTTGTCCGTACCTCTTCCCGACGTCGTACAGCGCCTTATGAAGCGGCGGCTTTCGCAGTAGGTGGAGGTGGCCGACGATGGGAAGCGCCGGGAAAGGGGTCGGCGGCAGATTCCTCAGCCGGTGAAGAATGAAATGGTGGAAGAGGTGAAGAAGAACGATGATTATCGGAAGAGAAAGATAGAGAAGGCTGGCCATGGTGTTGATGATACGTACGTATTTGGGAGCGGCAATGGAAGCTAGAGGTGATCGATGATGATGATGGCATCAATTATATTGTAGTTGATGACTTGATGTCATTTATTTGATAATAAAAATTGCAATTTGTATTACATTTGACACAATTCTTTTTTATACACATCACATACAGGTCAGAAAGTGACATCATTCTTTTCTCATCCGTGTCTATCATCAATATACGATCAAAATTTAATTTACATCTTTTCAGAGGATGCTAGAAAATGAGGCTCAATCTTTTTTTTTTTGTATCATTGTCATCTCTTTTATTAGTTTTTATTAATCGAAATAAATTAAGATCTTGTTCTTTAGGACATGAAAAAAAGAGCTGAATGTTGGAAGAAACTGGAAAGACTAAAAAAATTGGAAAATCTAAAAAAGTTATTTTAATGTATTTTTGTATTATTCTCATTCTAATTCTTGTTGTTATAAATTATTATTACTATTATATTATTATCACGTTATCTTAATGAATGCTTTTAAGATAAAAATTGTTATTTTTCATACACAAAAAAAAATATTTTTGCAAAAAAAAACTAGAATATTAATTTAGCATAAATATCAAAATTTTAAATTTTAAAAAATTATTGTGATTACGTTGCACCTAAATTAATTTATGCAACATTTATTATTAAATAATATATTTGTAATTATATTTTATATTACAAGATTTTGTTTTAAATATTACATATAATGTAATCAAAACTATTTTTCTTTCATTATTTACATTTTATTTTCATTGTAACTCCTTTTTTTGGAATAAAGACATAGAATTTTTATTTTTGTCCATTTATTTTATGTTTTACTCCTACTTTAGTCTTTTTCCCTAAAATATTTTGATTTTCAATTTTTTTTATAAAAGTTAGAAAAATGAAAACCAAAATTAAATTTTGAAATAAATAAAAATGAGAAAAAATTGAGTAATAAAGGAAAGAGTGATGGGTCTTTTATAAATTTAGATTAATAAAAAATTCTATGTAACTATTTCATCCATAAATTTTTAATATAGTTTAATTTTAAGTATTGATGTTTCCCTATTTTATCATGTAGATTAATATACAAAAAAATTGTCTATTCATATTACAAAGCTGAAGAAAAAATGAAAATGAGTGTGAATCATAAAAATAGTGATATGAAAAAATAAAATAATTTATCAACTATAGTTATGAATATAATTGTTGTAATAATAATAATATAGAAATAATATATCATTTAATTTTTAGAGTAATTGGTTAGAGAGTAGAAAGAGTTTGAAGAAACTAGAAGGAACTGGAAAAATTGAAAGAAACCGGAAGGAACTAAAAAGTACTTGTAGTTAAGAGTTTAAACTCTAAAGAACATGCTCTAAGAGTAAATATTTATAAAAAAATATGATGTTGATATATTCTTGCATGCCGAGAGTATAATTGTAACGATGACACATATCATGTCATATATGCATATCATACTATTGTTATGTTATGTGTCATACCGCGTGTTTCCTGTTTATTCTTCTATTATCAAATATATAGCCTGATAATCCTTCTTTTATGGATATCTATCTATAAATAGTCCTTTTTTTGATTTTTTATTATGTCATTATTAATTTGAGGGTTAAAACTATAACTTCACAATGATAATGTATCTTTCTTGCCAAACACAATAATTCCATAGGTCACTCTAGATGCACCATTTGTGAATTACAGTCCTACAACCATAGTTTACAAATATATTCTTTCGTCGAAATCCTAGCTAGCTCACAATCATAGTCATTATTTTTGTGTTATTCGTCTAACCACTATCAGAATGTGTCACTGAACATAAAGTTAATGTCAAATTATACTTTTTACCTTTAATTTAATTAACACCACCATGCAAGAATATTAAAGAAAGGACTATTTGTAGAAATACAACCATAAAAGAAGGACTACAAAAGTAATATTTGATAATAGAAAATTAAATATGAACACTTCTTTGCTATAAAGGAGAAATTATAGACTTTACTCTCAAATTAACTTCAAATAATCATTATTTTTATTAATTTCATAAAACCTTAACAAATTTCAATATCATGCCATCGATGCATATTTAATTTACATTTTTTAAATATACATAATTATTTTATTCTTTAAAAGATAAAGAAAATTTATAGCTTTAAAAACTAAAGGTATATTTAATTTTTTTTAAAGTACACACCATATATTTCATTATACTGTGTTACTTAAAAACATTTATGCATTGTATATTCCAAACAAATTTTCCGCATTATTAGTTTATAAGGTCAAATTTTATTTATTTTCTTTACTTATTTTCGTTACTCATTATATATATATATATATATATATATATATATATATATATATATATATATATATATATATATATATATTCATACTAATTTTTTTTGTAAAACTATTAAAATATTTTTTAAATATATAAATTCAAATTTTATATTTAACATTAATAATTAAATAAATTGAATTGAAAGTAATTTTAGTCAAACTTCGTAAATTGCAACTGAAATAATTTTCTGGACCACATATTTTCTTTCTTAAAATAATTTTCGCATTTGTTTTAAAGGCGAACACAAAAAAAAAGCGAGACAATTATTACAAAAGAGAGAGTAAAAAAGTTTTATTTATCTTTCAAACCCAAACTTAAATATGAATCTCATAATATCTTTTTATATATTACTATTGATTCGATTACAATCTAATATATGCTCATAATTTTTCAATTTAAACATGAATGAACTTCCACATATATTTTGGTGACTCAGCTTCTCATCGCTCAAGTTATGGAGAAACAAATTTCTAGCTAGCTCCTTCAATTCGGTCTCGGACTCTCGGTGTATAAGGTCATGTTCTACGGAGAAAACAATACTCCGTCTCGGCTTATTCTTTTTAGTTTCTCAATTAATAATTTTTATTTGTTTACATGTTTTTATTAATTATTTGAAAAAATAAAATAATATTGTCACTACTTATTTTGTAGAACTTCTAATATAATTTTTAAATACGTAAGTTGTATTTTTTATTTGTATACCAATTTTTAAATAAATTAAATTTATAATGAGGTTTTACACAATCTTTGAATTGTGTAATCTAACTTGTGATGGAGGGAGCATATAGATTAAAAAGTTTGATTGGATTTATTTTATACTTGTTTTATTTAGATATTAGTAAAAAAAATTCAAAATTAAAACTATTTATTTAAAAGCTAGTGGGGGTGGGTACGGGCCGGGCCAATATTTTTCAAATCCAAATCCGGCTTGTTTTTATTGATACGGTACAGGGCGGGCTGAGTCTTTGAAAATTTATAATTCGAATCGGTCCTAACCCGGCTTGTTTAAAACGTGTCGGTTCCACGGGTCAATGGATCCGAACTTATTGTTAGACAATGTGTGCAACTCTAGAGGGGGGTGAATAGATCGAGTTGTTGAGAATGTTTACCGTTTTTCGGAGCGTGAGTGTGTAAATAAAAATAAACGAGTGTGCAGCAGAAATAAAAGAGAGAAGGCAAAGAACACACCGATGTATACTCGTTCACCACCTCTAGTCCATTTCCCCGAGAGACTCTCTCGAAGCTGCCTTCTAACATGTCCCCTCACGTGCAGTCGTAGTCTTTTTCGAGCCTTGCACGAAAAACTTTAATTTTTTAAACCGGGTGGCGCCGAGTTTCAAACATGTGACCTCTTAGTTAACAAGACTCTGATACCATGTCAAGGATCCAAATCAACCAAAAGCTCAAGCTTTTGGTTGTGGCACATGAAAAGTTATTTATGTTCTAACACAATGTTTTACTCCTACTTTAGACTTTTCCCGAAGTTCTACAAAACAAAAGGTTTAAAACACATTTTATTTTATAAAATAATTAATGAAAGCATATAAGCAAACTAAAGTTTTTGTGAGATCGTAATAAAAACAGTGGGTATAATTTTGGAACTGTGGGAGTAGCTAATATCTATTTTGGGTGAAGGGTATATATGCATATAAGAAATGTCTAGTAAAATTCTACCAAAATATTACTCCCTTTGTCTCAAATTAAGTGAATGTTTACTATTCACAGAGTAAAACTTCATTTATTACTTTCTTTTCCTATTTTCATTACTAATTTGATAAAATAATAGTGAAATTTGCATTAAATAGTACTAAAATATATGTCATTTACCAATTTAGTACTCAAACTTTTTTATTCTTTAAATAGTACTTGAATAATGTCTATTGACGATAATAATGTCCAGTGATGGTAAGGAGTGAGCATCAGGTCAGTTCGGCCAGTTTCGGGCAAAAAACAAACTAACCAAATAAATTGATATGCAATACCGACCGAATCGAACCGAGTTAGAGCCAAAACCGTACTAACCGAAACCGAAAATAACCGACCCGGTTTGGTCAGTTTTTAATAACCAAAAATAATCAAAACATTTTGTAATTTTTCATAAAAATCATCTCCCAAATCCTAAAGAAATGACAGATTCAATGAAAATGACAGATTCAATGAAAAAAATGTATGAGCATTAAATAATATTAAATATCAAAAAATATGTACTAAATCTATTATGCTATTTTATTTCAAATTCTGAAGTTATTTTTAGGTATATAAATCAATATAAAGAAGTAAAAAAATGCATAATTTTTGGAAAAAAGTAAGATAGTTTTGCAATATTCTTAAAGTTTTGTCCGAAAATATAAATTTATAAACTAAAAACTAGTAAGAAAAAATATAATTATAACCTTGTTTTTATAACATTATATTTAATAGTAAAATATATAATTTGAAAAAAGTCTTACATTAGCAGGTCGGTCAGGTCGGATTTGGTTCAGTCAGGTTTGACCCATTTTAGCGGGTCATATCGAGTTCAGCCCACAAAACCTTTATTCAAAACCTTGTATGTTCGGATCGAATTTCGAATAAAAAATAGATCGGGTCATTTTTTACCAAGTCTATGAGTAGCAAGTACTTGTCTCTTGGGCGGGCATTGGGCCCATAAAATATGATGTGGAAGGAAGAAATGTTCCAAAATAATTGTCTAAATTTGACCCGTGTACAAAAGCGCATCTCTTTTAAGATTGATATAGAAAAAGAATGTATTTTATTTATCAAAACTATCTCAAAAGTTTTATTAAATGAGATACGACAGAAAATATTTTATTTTGTCAAATAATCAATTGAAAATGCAATGAAAGTAGTTAGCAGTCCTCCCTTTAGTATTACTTCTAAATTCTAATGTAGGTGCGGTGGCCTAATAATATACACCTTTCACTTTTTAACAAATTAAATAGGAGTAATTTTCTAAAAACTCTTTGAAGATCAAATGGACAATGTTTTTTGGAATGGAAGAAATTATTTAAAGTTATAAAAATGAAAAAAAAGCTCTTCTGCATTAAACCAAATTGGTAATTCTTACCTTCTAAGCCCCATTCACCCAATTCTGACCCCGACTCATCCCCTACACACATCAATTGCGTTAATTGACTTTGATGTCAAAAGTTTCACCTCAAAGTCAACTAAATTTACACCCTTAATTGTATCGTAGGTTTTCCAATTGAGACAGTGTCTTTCGTAACCATTCAAAGAGAGTGACCATGGAACCAGAATTAAATATTACGGAGTAATTTAAACACAAACTTACTCCAGTACTCCATATTATATTGCAATGGTGGGAAAGGCGTCTCGGTGTTCAGCAATTATGAATCGCTTGACAAAACAGCTTTGTTTTTTTTTAAAGGCGTCAATGTGAGGTGAATGTGGAGTTTTGGTCTATGATTTATTTGTTAATTGGGTAGAAACAACGAATGTATAGTTAAGTTCCTTTCAATTGGATAGATGTTTGATCAAACGTGTTGTTCTCTACCAAAGAAAAGGTTATTGGTGGAAAAGTGAGATTTGGAGAAGATACTCCTTTCGTTCCATTTCACACTTTGGTTTCACCCAAATTTAAACTAGTTTAAAATGCATGTGGAAAATATGTCATATGAATTTATTACAAGAAAATTAAATATAGTGAGATGTGAGGGAATGTCTTTCCTCCAATCCACACTCCATAATTAAGAGATCACTTCAAACAACTTAAAATAAGACTAAAACATAGCCATTATTCTTAATAGAAGTAAATTTTTTTAAAATAAGATTACTATGCTGTAACAATATTTGGAGATAAACAAGACTAGGTAATATTTTCAAAATGACTAGGTAATATTACCTAGCAAAACACGAGTAAATTCCACTGGATACGACTACTCCGTATTATATGAAGCTAGTACTTCATTTAGCTTTTGACGTTTACCGGCAAAAGGACCTCGGCTACGAGGCTGACGTTTACTTGAAAGACTACTTATGAACTTTTGAAACTTGAAAGACCAATCATGCGTAATTTATAAAGTTGAAAGATTATTTATGAACTTTTGAAACTTGAAAGTCCAATCGTGCACGACTCATAAAGTTGAAGGACCAATAGTGGAGTTTATGTAAGTTCGTGAGGGTGCAGCGGAAATCACGAATTGAAAGCTATGCAAACAAATTAATCAACTATGCTGTAGAGAAGATACTACAGTATTGTCACAGTAATTAATCACAGACTCCAGCACAAGCACACACACAGAAACAGATGGTGCAGAGGGTAATACAGCGTCTATTAGGCAGAATGCTGTAATTATAGATTGCATAAAAAAAAGAACACTAGCTATGTTTACGCAGTTCGGAGAACTTTCCTACATCTGTGGGGCCCACGTTCGTGTAATAACTCTCCACTAAATCACTAGATGCAAGCTACACCGGTACATAACAACATGATGAGACACACTTCTCTAAATTGTTATGACAAAACTTCTAATCTAGGATTTCTAATCCGTACCCTGTACAGATCCGCTTCGGCAATCACATCTCCACCGAGATCACGAGGACAAACATCTTGGCAGCCCACTCGTTCATCTCTAGTTCATCTCCTAGACGTCGCGGTCTGTTTGGCGTTAAAGATCTCCTCCTTTATGTAGATCGTAACCTTCTTCACGCATGGGAAGCTCTGGGACGCGACGAGAATGCTCTACATCAGCGTGTATTCTTTGTTTTTCCCCTCGATCGCTCCAAGGAATTCCTAGGGACCTGCTGCGTTTTTACAGGCCAATCGAAACCCAATCCTAGTAGGGATAGTATAGGTTAATAGAAGTTGACTTGAATACAGCTTTCTTAATCTTGATCCACACATAGCCTAAAGAGTTGAGATTCTTTAACACGTACAGCTGGAGTTATTATCATGTAGTCACAATCCCAATTGGTATTTAATTCAGATTCTAGCTTAAAATCTCGTGCTCAGACTTCTGTCAACGCAGCAACTCTATAAGACTAAATAAAATAAATTTCTCCTAACAAATAGAAGTTTCTATCTAGTAAAACACCTAACAAATATAAAATTCTATTTTTACCAAAAGATTGGCCAACACTATGGAACTAAGAGTTTAGCATTAACATTATTTAAATTTTATGCTCAATTAAAATGAATGAGTAAGAAATCATTACGAGTAAGAACCAAAAAGAAGAAGTGAAAAATCTTTTGGAACGTCATTTGGGGCCAGGAAATTTGGTTCGAAATATTGTTGTCGTTGCACTTGCGCATGATGTGACCGAATTGACTACGGAGTATAATTGATACTTTACCCAAAAAAAGATCAAATATATTACTCCGTATTTCTAAACCCCCGTGCTTCTGTGCTTTTGGAGTACCTCCAGTACTTCGTTCGCAAAATTGATGACTCCTACTTCCCCTAACCCACCCCCTAAACCCCTCACTCTACTCCCGCCCCTGCACCCCATCCCAACCCCGTCGTAAGGCTCCCCACAAAATATGCACATTTTGTGGGGGCTTACGGCGGGGTTGGGGTGGGGGGTTTATGGAGTGGGTTGGAGGGGTAGGAACCGTCAATTTTGCGAACGGGGTACTGGAGGTGCCTCAAAATGCCAGTGGCACTGGAGTGGCACCGTACTTCGGTGTCACTAGAACCACACCGAATTAGTATATTTGTTAAGTTCGATTTTTTTGAGATAAACTTAATAAATCTTGAATTTTTGTTGCTCTCAATTTGTATTGCATATTAGTATAATAAACTAATATTTTGAAAATTTTCAATAAGATAAATCTAGTTAAATCATTTTATACTACGGAGTAAGATACTCCATTATAATTGTTGTTTAATTGGAGTGGAAAGTTCATCCCCTTTGACTTGAAAAAGTTAAGCTAGATAAATCCATTGGGACGGAAAGAGTATTTTAACTACAAACTGTTTTGTGGGAGTACAATGTATTATTGGTATTGACTTTTTCATGTTGTTTTAAAATATACTCTTTTCTATGGATTTGGATCACAAAAAATAGGCCAAATAACTTGCAACTCTACCGAGTTGCCCTCTAGGTCGGGTCGGACCCGAACTTGACCCGTGTCTACCCCTACTTTCTTCTCTTCAAAACAAATTCATAGTTATTGGAGAATTAATATGTATCTCGATTTCTTTTTTTTTCACGATTCATATAACCAAACTCTTGTATGCATACACACATACTCAATAATACAAAGACACGACAACAAAAAACAATTATAGAGATATTACAATTGCATAGATATATGTAGCCACCCACTTCATACATTGTGTTGGGATCAACTCTTCTCACCTCACTCACAAGCATCTCAAGAAGCCTTCTTGGTTATTGAGTTACCAAATGAGACATCCACACCACTATTTATACTCATCACCAAAATTAAGTTTCTTTACAATACTCCACACATCTCTACATTTTTAAAATCTTCAAAAAAATCTTCACAAACTTTCATAAATTCTAGAAGAATCTAGAGAACTCAACATATATCTAAAATATCATAGAGGATTCTACTTTTTTCCACATATTTTTAGAGACTTCCACATTTCTCTAGAAAACTTGTCTAAAAAAATTCTACAACATTCTAGAAAGTGGTCACGAGGATGAGGCATTGGCCTTTGGAGCTCTTGAAGAAGGATAATGCATTAAATCTTGGAATCCATATTCTCATGTTTTATTTTTAGTTTCCTTTGTTGGTCCTTGTAAATTTTATAAGGTCCGAGATGATCATTGGAAACCAACTCTAGGCGTGGTAAGGTATTTAAAAGGATATTTGGGACGGGACATTCTTCTCTTCTCAAAAAAACAATTTTATATTTTATTCGAATTCGATGGTTTGTCCCATGACTCAAAGACCCTGGACTAGGTAGTTTGCATAGCTTGAGGATTCTTCCCGTCTCTTGGAAGACAGAAATGAACGCACATGGCTCATTCTTTTGTCAAGGCAAAGCCCTTAATACCAATTCAGTCTTTCGTGATAGAACAAAGCACATCGAGATTGATTGTCATTTTGTCAGTAATGAGATCATATATAGTGTGATTCACGCCAAACATGTTCCCACTTCGCTTTTGCCTGCGTATATTCAGAGCGATGCTTTGGAGAAGGCGCATATAGAATTTCTTATTTCCAAGTTGGTATTCATGCTCTGACTTGATAGGGGTATTAAAGGAAATAATATGTTGTATCTTGTATACATTATGATTTGATTTGTGATATATTGCTAATAGAGTATGTAGTGATTTCACTATACAACACAATACTGCAGTATTCTACACGTATATTTGGACAACAAACGTTAGTAATTTTGCAGTGCATGGATCAAAAACTAGCCAGGCAAATTTCAAACAATTAACAATAATTAGGTAGCAAATTAAAGCGCTAATTATTAAGGCTATAAACAACACACAATAATCCTCAGTGCATTCCATTTAGAATAATGCCCTAATAAATAATTAAATCCCAATCAAAGCTCTCAAAGCATTCTTCAAACTCACAAATCAGGAGAACTTAATAGCGCCGCTCCTCAGAAAATTGGATGGTAAAACGCTGTTACTCTCTTCCGCCAAATCAACAGCTCGGGAAACTTGCAATGCCATTTCACTATGGAGTTGGATGCAGCTCAATGCCAGCTGCGGTGTTAAAAAAATAATTCAGGGGGGGCAAAAAGGGAAAAGAAATAAAGAGGGGAAAGAGTTAATATCACACATTTAAATCAATGTACCAAAAGAGAAGAAAATGAGCAAGAATAATGGAACACTTGGGGGCAATTCCGCGATTTTTTTCCCAATATCAATAGATTCAACTCATTTAAATAGATTAGGGATTGCTAGAAAAAAATGCCTAAAATGGGGAAAACGCATTTCATCAAACGGGTACAAAAAGTTCACATTTTACATGATAATATGAATTGTCCATAGAACGGGTTCACGATTCAATTGGAAAATGGCCACACCCCTGCCACCTCCAGTCCTCCCTATTTTGACCATCAACCAATCTAAAAGAACATATGTTGTCTCCCTGCATGCCCAAGCTGTCATCAAGGGGGCACATTTAATGCTCCATATGCTAACCTTTCAATACTCTGATAAGTCAAGGGCAGAGACGGATCCAGGCATTGGGAACTATGGGGTCCCATTTCTTAAATTATAAACATATATTTATACTATGTTATTATTCGTACGCTATAAAAAATATACTATTTAAATTAACATTCAAAATATGTTTCTTAAATGGATTTTTTAAAGTCATAACTTCTACACCTGAAACTTTTAAAGATATAATTCACTAATTGGATATCATGATTTTTTTGTCAAAAGACTCAAATTAGAACAAAAGATTTAGACACTTTAAAAATGAAAGTAAATTGCAAAAAAATACAAATAAAATGAAAAGTAGATTTGTTAAGGTAGTTTTTAGGAAAATTCTAATTTAAAGAATTTTAATAATTATTTAATATTTCTGTAAACTGAAAGTCAAATGAAGAAATATGTATTAATACAAAAATTACTACCTCAATAAATACAATAAATTATTTTGCATTAAAAATGTTTTTTTAGATTTCTTGAGGATAAAATTGAGGACATATCCATAATATAATCCTTCTTTATCACACTTTAAGAACGGAAAGAAATTGCAAAAAGAATAAAAATAAAATAAAAAGTAGATTTGCTTAGATATTTATTAGGAAAAGTCTAATTAAAAGAATTTTAATGATTATTTAATATTTATTTAAACTGAAAGTCTAATGAAGAAGAAATATGTATTAATACAAAAATACTACCTCAAAAAATAGAATTAAATATTTTGCATTAAAATGTTTTTTAGACTACTTAAGGATTCAATTGAGGAACATAAATACGGAGTATTAAAAATAGTGGAATGCAGAATCGAACACTGGATCTCCAGGCTTGATTTTCCGACGCTCTTCCATCGCACCGCAACATGATTTGTTTATTCAAAGGGTTTGTTTGTTTTTATACTAACATATCAGGGTACCAAATACATATAAGATCCTACGTGGAGGTCCGTGGGGTCCCGGGACCCCGTGGGACTCAACGTGGGTCCGCCTCTGGTCAAGGGTGTGAAGGCAACCAGCATTTTGGCAACCGGCCCCCACAAAGAGAGAGGACAAGTCCCATGTGTGAGGCACCTAGCCAAGTAGTACTACATTTATTTAGTCCACAACCTCACATGCAATGAACACAAAATATTTGACTTGCATTTTGATTGCGTTATATTGGTCAGAGCATCTCGGTTTTCTTCACATTCTATGGCATGCATGCCTTGAGACTAGTAATGACACTATATGCATATGACCCACCTAACTTCATCCATTTATTACCTTCAAGACAATTTCTTTTGGATAGGAAGATCCTAAGGCAAGAAGGGTGTACAACTTCAATCCCAGAGAGAGCAACATTAGGAAAGTTTTCTCGGGACCAGAAGAAAAGTCTACATAGACCACCATTTTTTAAAAACTTCTGTTGGACAATGACAACAGATGATGGCCTTTCTTTAAGTGTAATGGACTATTCCTTTCTGTAATTATTTCTACTGTATGAGAATGAAAAGCCACTTTGCTTTCAAGTCCCCATTCTTTATACTGATCACTGATGATGATGATGGAAGTATGAAACTTCAAGCTCTCATTAATATGGACCAGAGTGACTATGGGGTGGCAAACGGGTCTTGAAATCACCGGGTAAGAACCAAACCACAAAGTTCGAGGCGAGTTAGAGGCTTGTCCAAAATGTTACCATTGAAAATGGGGCGGGTCCTTGAGCAAAACAAGTCAGGCATGTCCAAATATTGAGTAACAATTAGACCCAAACCGGCCCATTTCTTAGAACTAAATGAAATTATAACTAGAATAAATAGATTATAGTCTACTCAATATTGTATTCTTAGTCATTTGATGAAATTAAGGATTAACTTCCATCAATTATATTCATAAATAGATTTTATATGGTATATTAAATATTGAATTAAACTAATACAACAAAGCCTTATCACACTAGGTCGGATCAGGTACACGGATCAAGCAAAGGTCCCCTTGACCAATTCTTGCCAAGTTTTCTTAGGTCTACCTCTTCCTCTAGCCACATGTCTATCCACCATTTGATTAACTTTTCTCACAAGGTGCTCCAAACCTCCTACGACGAGTTTCCACCATCTTTTCTACAATAGGTGTCACTCCAACTTTAGCTCTCATATTTTCATTCCTTATTCTATCCATACACATATGACCGTTCATGTTCACCCTTTGCTGCCCAGCACTCTGTTCCATACAATATAGCTGGTCTAATCGGAGTACGATAAAATTTTCCTTTTAGTTTTAAAGATACTTTTTTGTCACATATAAAGCTCGAAGCACTCCTCCATTCTTGACCAACCTGCTTTGACTTCTCGCGCTCATTGTAGCACCATCGTACATGTCCTCAATCGCACGAATATACGCAATCCTTACTCTTTTTTTCTCTAAAATCATCCATAAAACTTCTCTTGGTACCCTGTCATATGTCTTTTCCAAATCAATAAAAGCCATGTGTAAATCTTTCTTCTCACTTCGGTACCTCTCCATCATTCTCCTCACCAAGTATATAGCCTACGTTGTTGATCTTCCTAGCATAATACCATATTGATTCTCTCACACCAAAGTCTCTTGTCTCAACATCCGCTTAACCACACTTTTCCACTGCTTCATCATATGACTCATGAGCTTGGTCCCACTATAATTTCCACAACTCTGAATATCCTTCTAATTTTTATAAATAGAGACCAAAATACGCTTCCTCCATTCGTTAGGCATCTCCTTAGATCTGAGAATCTCGTTAAAATACTTAGTTAGCCACCAAATACCTTTTCCTCCTAAACCTTTCCAAACTTCAATCGGGATGTTGTCTCGGCCCACTGCTCTACTATTCTCCATCTGTTTTAAGGCCTCCTTAACTTCAATTTCATGAATTCTCCAATTTTTTGTCCTCCTCCCTCGTGTGTAGCCAATCAGAGCATGAGAGATTCGCATGCCCCTCATTAATGAAATCAATGAAGTAGCTCTTCCACTGCTCGTTTATGCTTTCTTCAGAGACCAAAACTTTATCATTCTTATCTTTAATGTACTTAACTTGGTCTAAATCCCTCATCCTTCTTTCTTAACCCTTCACAATCTTGTAAGTACATATTTTCCCTTCTTTCGTACCCAACCCTTCAGCTCTTGTTTTTACTGCATTTACAGTCGCTTTTGTCTCCTCCTTAGTTGTCTTATACCTTTCCCAACTTTCTACATTATGGCATAAAGACCACTCGTTGAAATGTTCCCACTTTACTTTTACCTTCTCTTGCACACTAGTGTCCCACCAATATGATTCTTTGTCTCTTACAGTCCTGCCTTTAGTTTCTCCAAGGGTTTTGCCACCTTTCTAATAGTATATGTATGCCATATCACACCATAACTCTTCCGCACTTCCAGGTTCATCCCATTTTGCTTCTTCAACAAAACAACGTTGGAAATCAATTTGCTTATAACCTTTCATCTGTCACCATCTAGTCCTCAGATTCCTCTCTTGGCGACTTCCAATTACCTTTCGTTGGATACAAAATTCCATAACGAGTATTCTATGTTAGGTGGTCAACTCTCTCCGAGAATAATTTTGCCATTAGTACAAAATTTTCAATCTAATTTCCTTAGCAGAAAGATATCAATTTGAGAGCATGTCCTCCTAGTCTAATAAGATATAAGATGCTTGTCTAGCTCTTGAAAACAAGTGTTTGCAACAAAAAAAGTGGAAGGTCAAAGAGAAGTCTAAGATGCTTTTACATGCTGCATTCGTTACTCCAAACTCATGCCTCCATGGATTTGTTCATAGCCACTCCCATCTTTTCCCACGTGTTCATTTAAATCTCCTCCCAAGAAAACCTTTTCTCTTAATGGTATACGTTGTATTACACCTTCGAGGTCTTCCCCAAACCTTATCTTGTGGTGTTCATCTGAACTGACTTGTGGTGCGTAGGCACTAGCCACATGAAGAGCCTCCCCCTTTACTAGTAGCTTCAATGCAATGATCCGATCTCCTACCCTCTGAATAATGACCACATCCTTCTTCCATTGTTTATCAACAAAAATACAAACTCCATTTTCGTTTTTCACCTAACCTGTGTACCATAGTTTGAAGCCTGAAATGTCCAACTCCTTAGCCTTTGGTCCCACCCACTATGTTTCCTGCTAGCACATAATATTAATCCTTTTCTGTATCATAGTATCTACCAACTCCGTAGATTTGCCTGTCAGTGTGCCAATGTTCCATGTCCCAAACCGCAGCTTATCTTGAACTTTACCTTTACCTTTGAGAACTAGCTTATTTACCCACGTCCGTTCACAAAAACGTGGGAACCCTTGCTTATTTTTCACTACACCCGAGCACCGATGCACCGGTCCTGTCTTATTCAACATTGTACTCGAGTCATGCAGTGTGTTACTTCCGCGCAACGACCAAGCTTTAGTGCAATATTTTGTTTGATCCATGTCATGAAGATTAGACAAAGCTTTACGTTGGTTATCAAGACCTACAACTATATACATACATACATACATACATACATACATACATACATACATACATACATACATACATATATATATATATATATATATATATATAATGGTTCTTTTGACCCTTGAACCTCGGGTCATATTATGACACGAGGACCCTACGGTACTCCTTTCATAAAATTGATGGTTCCTACCCCCCTAACCCGCCCCTAAACCCTACCCTCTGCCCACCCCAGCACCCCCTGCCCCCTAGCATTACTCGGCAAAATGGGGGTAGGGGGGTGCTGGGGTGGGCTGTCAGGTAGGGGTAGGAGGGTAGGGTTTAGGGGGGTAAGAACCATCAATTTTACGATAGAAGCACCATAGGAGTCTCGGGTCATAATATGACCTGAGGTTCAAGGGTCAAAAGATCCTTTCCGATTTTATATATATATATATATATATATATATATATATATATATATATATTATAGTCAACGTGATTGTTTGTTGTTTGTTTTCAAGATTTAATTGGCAAAAATTTGTTTTTGGATGAGTATTGTAATTTTTTTTTCAAAAGTATTATTTTGTTTATGCAAATTGTGGATTGGTTTCACAATCCATAGTATTCTATTTTCACATAAGTTGTTAACTTTGTGAAGTATTTAAAACTGTGATTTAATAAAATAAAAGAAGTTCATGAACCCGTGGAACCGAATACTCGAATAGTTTGAAACAACGGCCCAATGAAAATCGACTTGACCTGGCCCATGCCCACCCCAATGAGTGACACTTTTTTGTCACCTTTTATGCATTGTTTTGTAGTTGTAATTGAGCTACAGAAAATTGAATTGAATAACTGGGATTAGATATAGTCAAATTTGAAATGGCAGGCTTGGTGGTAGTTCATCCAAATACTAGAATCACTTAAGTCTCAAATCCCATGGTGTGTGGGAGCTATGCAATGCTCACAAATTTGAAGAATTGATANTTTGAATATGCACATCAGATTCATAAGTCGGTAGCATGGGAAGTGAAAATATAATGGTAAAATAAGAGCAATTGAATGTGTTTTAACTTTTCATTGTGTTTGGTAATGGCGAGGAAGAGAAAATAAAGGAATGGAAAATACGGAGTAAAAGTTATTTCCCACTTCTCGTTTCAAGCATGTTTCTTCAATTTATTCTTATTTACTTATTCTTATTAGAACCACATCAGATCAAACTAGATCACAAACAATTTTTAACTTTAACTAAAATGAGATCAGACCTTAATAAATTCAAACCGGAACCAATGAGATCAGATCAAACAAAGAGGACAGGCTTGAACCTCTCCAACTCGGAGAAAATGTGAAAATGTGAAATTTATGTTGAAAAGTTTACTTTTCATAACAAGTACAGAGTATACTAATTTAACATCATAATGATATATTAGTGTCTCGTCTTTCTCTCCAAAAGTAACTCGTTCAAATAATTATGATTTTCTTTCTTTCCTCTCCCTACATATTTTACTTGAATCCAATAACAAGAAATGACAAGGAACATAAATTTATTTTCTTTCCATATTTTCTATCCTCAAGAGAACAAAGTCCACACCCAAAATGTTAGGGTTAGATGTGTTGAGGAGTTTTACAGACTTGAAGAAAATACGGAGTAAGGACACTTGGATTTGAAGTTCAGTGGGAAAGGTGGAATTGTCTCATACTCGTTACATTGGAAAAGGAAAGGTTGAATGTTTTTCAGTGGAAAGAAGTTCTAGAATTGTTCTATGTTAATCCATGATAAAGTTTTGTGTCTCTGACTCATTTTACGTTGAATATGTCACCTCATTTTTTGAGTATTTGGTTTAAGATGTCAAAAATTTATATAATTATATAGGTAAGTGCATCACTTTGATGAACCTCACATAACACAGCATGGTAAGACAATATTAGAATGTCATTTGCTGTGAAAATATAAATGACGCATGGGAAGGTGAAAATGACAAATCCAGAACACAAAGTCTAGTAATAATAATAATTTCTGACATACCGTGTAGCACTCCCTATCTGTGTCTGAATCAGCTACACTTAGGGCCCATGTGCGTACCCATTCGAGCCCATTCACAATGTCAACACTACCTTCAAGTAAGGCAGATTTTATGAAGGAGGGATGAAGAGAAACCAATATGCATGATGCTGCAAAAAGCACAGATCTCCGAACATATGCTTCCTCATGAAAAGACACCTTGCTGTACAAATAACAAGTAAAGAAGTAATCACACTGAGAATCACTAGACCGAGAATAGGGAGAAAAGGGGGGAATGTGGCAACTCTGATATAAAGAAGTGATAAGTGTGTTAGGTAATTTTTGTTTTGAAGCTTATAGCTAAATTCAAGCTGTATAATGCACTCTTAATTCATAAGTGTCTCCCACAACTTTTTCAGAAATAATCTATTACGGAGTAATACTAAATTTATTTCCACTAATTACCTTCTTCTTTACTACAATAAGGTCATTTGTTTTCTCTAATCAATAAAAACGATAGCCCTTTTATGTCTTTGTACATTAATAATCCATTCAACTGCTAATTTTACCAAGCACATCTAATACCGATCAAAGCTTTCATCCCTTGTTATTAACTTATATCAACTTTCAAATACTTTTTCAGCTCTGTGTCCAAAATGGTCCCTAAAACAGGCACATCATTTTTTATATACACTACAAATGATATTCTATCAGAAATCAATAACAAGGTGTTCGGTGCTTGTAGACAGAGATAACCAGCCATCAATTTAATAGAATGAATAATAATGATCAAAACCTTGATCTCAGCAAATCCAATAGAGGAGATGCCAAAACAAATGCTTCTGGATGCATCGCAGCACACTTTATACAAATCCCAAGCATGTAGATAAGCTTTCCCAAGACAATGAAATCTCTATCAAGCAAATCAACACCGTGTCTTTTCTTATCAAACGTCTGCATTACTGGTAGCATAAATGCAGCTGCATATTGTGGAAACTTATTCAAGGACCACTCAAGCTGGTTATCTTGTTTTTGTGATGATTGAAGGCTCCACCGGCGTGTCTTCCCTCTCTTGAGCTGGCTTGGTTTCGAGGGGAGCTCTCTCTCATAAGAATATGACAGATTCAAAGGAGTTCCCGGAGTTGAGATCTCCTTCCAGGAGCTTGCTCCAGGTGGGCCAATGTTCTTGGGCACAAACCATGGCTGGTCTGACACGGATGACACAAGGGATCTAGAGTGTTGTTTGGGTTTTGAAGTTCGTGAATTTGCAAGTTCTTGAGCAGCATCTGTCATGACATCAAGAATCAATATACGCTGGCTTATATCTAGATTTGGAGAATATATCAGTCTGTTTAGCTCATTAAGAGATTCATTTGGACATGTGGCGATCAGAGCAACTAAGGATTTTTCTCTCTTATCTTCAGCTGATTCTTCCTCACCCTCAACAGTGGAATCAAAACAACGGACATATACAAGTGCTCTAGCCAGATCTCCAGCTACAAACTTAAGCTCATCAGGAAAGGCTCGCACAAGCTTCTCAACAACATCAAGAGCCTGTTCAACCTGTGAAATATGATTTGGAAATAACATCAGAAATGATAGTATGAGGGCTTTGATTTCAATACCTTGATTAGCTTATCGGTTTTAGGAAGTGGTTTGCTAGGAGCCCCTACTATAAAGGGAAACTTGACTTTGATAATAATAGATCAAGCAAAAAGTAAGATGAGATCGAGAAGGAAAACTCCTGATATTTCAAGTGTCCCCTCTCTATATCCATTCAGTTCATTGATATAACACGAAGAATCCCGGCACCTAACATCCCTCCGGACGCCCCCTGTGCAAAACTAATTTTAATGATAATTAAATGTTAATGTTACTAAGGAGTAACATAGTAAAGGTTTTCTCCATTTAATGTCCTTAATTTGCATGATTTCTTCCAAAACAACTATTGTGACCAGGGGTGTGGGTGTTACTAGCAACAAAGATAAACGAGAAAGTTCTTCAGATCAAACTTACACCCTCGCCATCATCAGGCTTCCTTAGTGCTCCAATCACATCAACCAACTGTGAGAATGATCTTTTCAAATCTGCACCATCATCTGCTAAATCATATGGCTGCAGAGATGAATCACTAGAGGATTCAGAATCTTCATTTGCAACGTCATCATCCTCTTCATAGGGAGCCAGCTGAGTCATTAGTGATGCAGGGTCAACAATCTCATCTGGGTCAACCAATTTGCATACAGACAATCTCTTACAATTATCCATAAAATTGTTGGACATAGCATCATCACCTTTTTCATCAAATTCTTCTGTTGCTGATGTAGATAAAGAATCATTTTTTATGCTCATTTCTTCATCTATGCAATCACGCATAGCTGGAGAACCCTTCTTAAGGTTTCCTAAACCAAACTCCCAGTCAATCGTCTCACTGTGACAGCTATCATCTAGATACAGAGGATTTTTTGGATCGATCACAATAGAAAACGCTAAAGCAACATTGCTAGCCATCTTTCGTATCAAATGGTCAGGACTATGCAACCTACCTGACATCAATTTAAAAAAAAAAAAACAGAACATAGAAGGCAACATTAAAGATAAGAACAAAGAAACAAACAAAATTGGCTCAGAGTATACCGCTAACTCCTTGAAGAATTGACGGCAATGCATCCTTGGTTGCATCGAGATCTTCCTTTGACATATTCTCTAGGCAAATGCCTAAAGCAGAAGTAACGTCTAATAATAAGTTAAGTACCATGTGCCAAACAGATAGAAGGAATAAGTTAAGTGCATTTTGAAGGTTGAAGTTTTTTTGCAAGGTCATAAAATAAAAGCGTTTGTCAAAAGAAAAAGACAAAAGGATACATGCTTGCTGCTCAAGTGGGGCTGATTGAACAAATTCTCTTTTAGACCATGCCACGGCAAGGTGTTGGACGGTATCCAAATGAGCACGGGCACTACCGGCTTTTGTACCCAAAGAAATATTAGGCACACATTCAAAAACTGCAAAGTGGAGAATCCATCTTGAGCAACATATAGGGAATACCTTCCAGAGCAAAAATTTATCTCGAAACATTGATCTGAAAATGAGAAAACACAATAACCTTTCTTGATAATAAAATATTCAACATATCTTCACTACGAGAAACTAATTATTCAAGAGGATGAGAATTCCTAAAGTCACATATCATTTTACATGACTGGTCCATGACTTGAATACAAAAGTATGCAATGAAGCAAAAATGTGCATGAGATGCATGATCAAGAAACTAGTGCCTGTTAGGTAATGGTTATTTAGCTGAAATGGTTAAATATCCAAATTTTCCAAAAGGAATAGCATTTGGTAACATCTACTTCAGCTAAATAATTAAGTCAAAATTACTTCTGCCAATTATGGCCACTAAACAGAGACATAGTCAAACATGTCACATTATTCTCCTGCAATGATCTGCATACAATTATCATTGAGCTTCAGAAGGAAGAAGATGAAGAAGACAAAGAAGAAGAAGAAGAATAAGAAGAAGAAGATAGAATTAGATTCATACTCTACACGAAGAGCACAACAGGGCAACCAAAATTTCAGTGCAAAAGGATTAAAATAGGCAATGCCATACCTAATGGATGTCTTCTCCTTATAAATGCGATGAAACAAGATCCATAAAATCCAATATGCCTCATCATCTCTAACACGTTTAGCTGCTAGTTGATTCAGAAGCTGTTCAGACAACCTTTCTACTGAGTGTGAATCTTGAACTGCCTCCATTATCTTTAGAAAAAAACGAAGACCAGGTTTTGACTCAACTGCTTCTCTAATAGTCATATCCGCAGTTGGTTCTAGCAGGCTCTGAACACATCTAAGGATTCTAGGAATTAACTCACTTAACAGAACATCTGTGAAAATGGGGGGAAAAAATTGATTGTTGATACACTTATGTTTTGTTTCCACATTTCGGTGTAAGGAGATAGCTGGCATGCAGTAATATAAATCACCTGCGGACCCTCGGCGACAAATGCGACTAAATGATTGCCCAACAAATGACATGCCAAAATCAGGTTTGTTTTTATCAAAATAAGATTTTTCATCTAAATTCCTGTCCAATCCTTCTGTTCCATCAAGTAGTTGGGAGACAATATGCTTAAAGAATAAGCTGATATTCAATGGTTAAGAAAACAAACCAGGCTAAGAAGCAATTAGAAAATAAGAAAATAAAATAGCATGTACTGTAACTGATTGCAATTCTTTTACGTGGAAACAAAAAAACATGTACTGTAACCATATTGCCCAAGAAACATCTTCGGCCAACCTTTCTAACCTTGGTCCTTAGTCCTTACCATAAGCAAAAAATTGATCAGATGCACAGAGACACACACACACACAATAAAACACAACAAAAATATTTTCTCTATCCCAAATGACATTCCCACTTTCCTTTCTTGGAAGTCGTAAAATGATCTTCCCATTTCCTTTTGACATATACTTTTTACTTTTTTAGTTAAAAGATATTTTTACCCTAATCTTATTTGATTACTCCCTTCGTTCTGAAATAAGGTTCCATTATTGACAGAACAGGGTTATTAATAAGGGTGAAAGTGTGGTTGAGTTTTGTCTAGAGGAGAGGAATTGTGTGAAACACACGATTCTGTACTCAAACGGAAAGAGATTTTTATTGGACAAACAAAAAGGAAATGTGGAAGCTTTTTATGAGACAGAAGGAATACAATCTTTTAATTCACTTTTATTAAACCCAAAAAGGTAGGCATGGACATTTAGATAATTCTCCTTCCACTCTTAATCTTCATGTCATTTTCACATGAGAAGACGATTGGGGCAGAGGGATTAATAAATACCGGAGTATGTACTAATCATAAATATAGGAGAACTTGGGAAGACGAAGCTCCAATACACAACCAATGGACTTAAACTTTTTTAGGGATCTTATGGCCTTAACTAAGCCACTAGTTAATGGTGAAAATAAATAAAATAAATAAATGTGAGATATGGGCACAAACCATAGGTGTAAACATTTTGGTTCCAATATATGAGAGAAAATAAAAGGATACGGTGATGAGAGCGAAGCAGGCGCTCTTGCTCGTACTTTGTCAGGAATAGAAGTAATAAGCTGTGACACCCGAACAATATTCTGCTGGACAGATTCATGGTTAGATCCTTTGGCTCGACAGTCAGTGTCAAATTCTATAACCAGCCGGAGTGCACCATCATTCTCAAACAAGCAAAGTAATAGTAATCTGCAATGGATGTTGTGAAGGAAAGATTGAAGATTTACCATTAACTAATATACACAGTACATCTAACGAAGGCAAATGAATCCTATGTACACCACATATAACATCAATGATTCTTGAATGAAACATGAAATATAAATCTGGCTAGCAAACAATGACGTGGAGCTCTGATAGAACTCAAGAGTGGCAGGGAGAATAAATGAAGGAAAGTCTTTATCAAGTTATGAAATAAAGATCTAAATTTATAAATAATAAAGATGAAGGAAATTCTTTATCAAAGCATAAGTAAGAATCTTACACTCATATAAGTAATAAAGATGAGGAGAATGGAGAATCTCAATGATAAATTTTGAATTACTTTCTGGATGACTTTTACAAATAATGAGCCTCAATATTTATAGAAGCCAAATACCTACCAGTCCCTAAAATTTAGGCTCACTATCACATTGCTTAGTAACTTTTCCTAGAATTTAGGCCTATTTACACATTAGATACTACTTAGTAACTAACATATATATAATAAAATATTTGACCCGATAAACAAATGACCCTAACTCACTCTACTATAAATATTAATAACATTAAATGACTGCATTTAGGGCACTCTATCATTATTCCCTCCATCAAAATTTGCCTCGTCCTCAATGCAAAACTAAAAACTTAGACTATAGCTTCTTTTTATATGTGGAGGCTTCGGTAGAAGTGGTAGGAAAACAATATAATGAAAAACTCCAATAACAGCAGTGGTGCTTCGAACAAAAGGGTCCAAATAAAACATAACAACTTCCAAGGATAAACTGATGCATGACGCCACTATCCAAGGTTTCATGAAGCTTTATCAGTGATGTTGTAGAATTTCCCAGGATGGTGTTGACACGTGTATAAGACTTTTGTAACCCCAAACTGCTGGAGGCATTCTCATCAACACTTGGCATAAGAAGCGTGGCTCTTTCTATATCCAATTCTATAGGTGAGGATGGAGAGGTTTGACAGTGCCAACCAATATAAATCATACCTTTATATTGGAACAGCCTCGACTCGAATCGTTGTTGCCGATTGCCTTTCATGAGAGATCTTCTAGTCAAGATCGTGAAGCGCACTGTGAAGACAACGCGATTGCATTCACTATCACGCACCGACTTAGAGTTGCAATTGAATTTCCCTTGTCATCATGCAGGAAATTACTTGTTGGATAAACATAATTAAAGCGGTTGGTTGTAACTTGTAATGGTAGGGTGTTTGGGCTTACGAACGAATGTAACCCTACCCTTTTACTTTTGAATCTTCTTTCCTTTCACATATAGATGGAAGTTACTAGATGTGACTCATTTGTAGGTGTCACAAAATTAAGAGTCGTACACCTTTTTGGAATTAATGACATCAAGGCGAGCTACAATGTAAAGCAATTGGTGTACTTCATAAGGGGAGTAACACTTGGATATAAAATTGTACTGAAAGATGGGATGACCAGGGTTTGTGTGGAAAAAACCTATGCAAATCATATGGCTCTGATACCAAATGATAGAACTCAAGAGTGGCAGGGAGAATAAATGAAGGAAAGTCTTTATCAAATTATGAAATCAGGATCTAAATTCATAAATAATAAAGATGAAGGAAATTGTTTACCAAAATATGAGTAAGATTCTTATACTCATACAAGTAATAAAGCAAAGCTGCCAAGGAGAATCTCCAATGATAAATATTGAATTACTTATAGATTTTATAAATAATGAGCCTCGATATGTATAGAAGCCAAATAACTATCAATCCCTAGAATTGAGGCTCACCGCCCACTACCACATTATTTAGTAACTACTCCTAGAAGGCTAGAATTTAGGCCCACTACCACATTACAAAGCAACTATTGGTCTGCTCCTACACTTTAGGGCTTACGCCCATTTACTCATTATTTACTACGTAGTAACTTAACATATACTAGTACCCGTAGTATAAAATAAAACATTTGACCCGATAAAAAATTACCCTAACTCACTCTACTATAAATATTAATAACATAAAATGACTACAAATAGGGCACTCTATCAAGCTCATACCACATCTTACATCTCGTATAAAGTCTACAGCAAGATAATTGTCAAAAAGTATTAAACGAATACAAAAAATGAGGACTAGATTGTCTAGTTCCAAGCATTATTGTAACATAAACATTATAGAATGAGCGTACATAATGCCAAAGCACCATGATGTCGCATGCTTTGGGAAGTTGTGCTTAAATGCCCAGTTGCCCACACCCACATATTACTTATTTTCAAAAGGTCTCGATAGAGACATCTAGAGTCATCAATTCAATGAAAGCATGCTTACTCTCACCATATTCAGTGTGGATTCAATTTGCAAAGAGAAAAGTACTACTAATGAAGCCATCAAGGATGTAGAGAATAAGATGCAGTACGTGTTTGTAATTACCTTTCAACATTTGAGCACACTGCATTGAGATCATGAGTGCCAATATCTTTTCCTTGTAAACAAGGAACTAATGCCTGGATGACCTCAGTGAGATGACTGTTTGTAAAAAACACATCATAGATGTGAACCCTTGCAGAGGTGGGGAAACATGCTAGCCAATCCAAAGCCACATCTATATGATTACTGTTGCACTTAGAAGCCACTCCACATCTCAAAGATGATCAAATGTAAAACAACATAACAACATCCCAACTCAGTTAGGGTCTAGGTTCAAGATTTGCAACCTTACCCCCTATAAAAAACAGAGAGGTTGTTTCTGTTAGACCCTTGATACATTGCTGCATTTTCTTTCAAAAACCTCATAGAAAGTAAGAACTAAGGGAAGACTAATGTGTTTTTTTTTATTTTTAACCATTATCTGCCTGAAACTAAAACATAGTAAATATTGACTCTTAGCTCCGATGGGAAAGGGCAATAGATTTTCAAATGTAAAAGAAAGTGAAAAATGGCAATTTCATGTGACGAAGAGAAGAATTTTCATTACCATATAATAAAACTCGTGCCAGCATTCGAAATGCAGCACCCGTATAGAAAATATGTTCCCATTGACTTCTCTTGTCAGAAACTGGCACCACAGCACTTTGTACCTTGTGGAAGATAACCAGATTTCCACAAAACAGATAGTGGTGCTTATCAAAATGGGTGATTATCTGAATAAAATGAAAACAAGTAAATAAATACAGAAAGATGGGATATACCTGTTCTCGGTACCGCTCATCAATACTACCTGATATTCACAAACTTGAAATAATTATTTCAAAAATCAGTGTTAGACTGGAGTAAAATGTGTTGACTTGATATTAGAAATTTAACATTAAGAGGACCTAAGAACGAGCGAGGATCAAGAGGAAACAGCAGAACAGCAAGAGAGTGAAGAGCAACAATAACTTCGTCCACGCGGCTCGCATCTTTGATAGAGCAGACAACCTGCCCCACTTTCTCCATGATTGCCTTCTCTACTTCTCTCCGGCACTTCATTGATTCTGAATCGAAGTCTTCCATGACTGTTCCCCGGGAATATCAACAGGAATGCCTTCGTAAAGGGATCTCTAATGAATACTATTGTTCCTCCTACTTGGTAGCATTCATGGGAATATCAATAAAGAATCCTCCGCTAATGATTCAATAGAAAATCAAATAACTATTGACTAAATTGAACTGCAAGTAAGCTTATTATTTGAATATGTATAACTTGGAACAGGAAAGTTTTTTTTTTAAGTTTTCAAGAAAGCATGATAAATAAAAGGAGGAAAAGGAACATAAAAGAGTACATAAAACAGCCCTTTACAACCCTAACAAGTTTTATCTAATTACTCACTATACTCCTATATCAGTAGCAAGCTCAAGTGGGGAAATTCCAGAAAACCAAAACCAGAAAGAAAGAAAAAAGAGTCAACGCAGCCACCCAAAAGGCATACCCAATCGGCATTTAGAAGTGGACACTCGACGTCGAGTGAGGCATTTGATCGAGCATGTGCCGTGCGGGTAGGGAAAATCGAATTTGGGGAAGAACACAATCCGAGAGCAAATCGTTGGTTGATTTAGGACGAAAATTTAGGAAAAGGAAAAAGAATCGTGCTACTGCCCCAACATTTTGGGGTTAGAAGTATATAGTGGTAAAAGTGTAAAACTAATGAAAAAAATTTATTCAATTCATAATTCATGATTCTTGGGGGTGTAATCAATTGAGATTTGAAAAGATATTTTTAGAGTTTTTAAAATTCATAGATTTTGTATGATTCATGTATTATTTTAATTCCATATGAGTCTGGATAGATTTTAAAGAGTCAATGTCTCCGTTCCTCCGAGTCCGCTAGGGACCGTCTCTTCATCGACGGGAGGCGCCGCCCGGACCACCACCACCACCTCACTCCCGTGATCTTCTTACCCCACCACTTCTCCTCCTTCCAGCGCTCCTCCTTTCATCAGCACTACCCGGCGGCGGCAGTTGCAGCTGCGGCTTGGAACCACCACCAGGTCGTGTTCTCCGACCCCCTGCACCCGTCTTCGTACGGCTACGGGATCATCAGCGGCGGTCCCAGCGGCGAGGAGGTGGTGGTGAATGGAAACCCTTGCTCGGGGGCATCTTCGTCCGGGATTTAGTCACTTCTATCATCCCTAAAATTGGGTTGCCACCTTACTCCGACCTTTAAGACGGGGAGGGGGGGGCTCATGCTAAGGGGACAACTATGGATGGGGTTCCATTGAAGAAGAAGAAGAATACCGTGAAGCAGGAAGGAGAGGATGAAGTAGACCAATGGCCAGCACCTTGTTTATTGGACGAGAGTCAGTAAAATCTCTATATTTTTTGTGAGATTTGAACTTCTCAAAATCCATCAAAATTCATACTCCTTCTGTCCTAAAACTTTTTTCTCAGTTTGACTTTTTTCATTTTTAAATTTTGGCTTTGACTTTAAATTTTACCCTCCTTAAAAAAGTTTTTTTGAAATTTTTTTTTTTGCAATCATTCAAAATATAGAATTAGAAGGTAATTGGTGTAAATACATGAGGGTATTAATGTCATTTGTCATCTTTTTTTCTAATGGGAAGGTAGTTTTAAGACGGAGAAAAAGGGGAAGTGAGAAGAAAGTTTTAGGATGGAGGGAGTATTTTATAAAAATAGTTTAAATTTTATTAATTTTTGAATACCATTAAATTTAGAAAGATATTTTAAAATCTGAATTGAATACATTTGGATTTTAAAAGACTTTTTAAAGTCTGAATTGAATACATCAAGATTTTAACCTACTTTTTAAAATCTGAATTGAATACCTACTCACTTTTAAAATCCAAAAAAATACTACAGAATTCAGATTGAATACACCCCTTAGATGGAAATGGTCGTAAAGCTTTGGGCTTCAAATCTTCTTTCTGTCACATCGGCTTTAACTTACATCAAAATTTCATTGAAAATGGGTTTGAAGCTCTGGGGATTCAAACTGCGCTTCAAACCTTTATTTTTTACATTTTTGAATACATATCTTCCAAAACTAAATTAATAAAATTTCGATATTTAATTGAATTTAAACGATAACAACTCATTAAATAAAAAAATTACATTCAATAAAAAATTATATTAATATAATAAGATTTGAATAATAACAATATAAATAAAAAATACATTACATTACGAAGACATTAGTGATTATTCAAGCGACTAAAAATATCTTCTCGTTGTAGAGATAATTAAAATAAATATAATATATTTTAGAGTAATTATGGAGATAATGAGAATAAGTTGTGTGTGTTTGTTGTGTTAAAAATAAGGGGTGTTTATACTATTAAAAAATATTTTTTTAAAAATGCCCAACGATCCAAATTATGACCGTTGGGGACAGAAGAACCGTTGGGGAAGGGAGAGGCGTTGCGTCAAACCTTGTTATTGTTTTTAATCCATTATGCTTCTTCTTCTTTTTCTTCTTCAATTGTCCTTCTCCTCCTCCTTCCCCTCCTCCTTCCGATCTACCCATCCATTTCCTTTTGTTTTCTTTTTTTCTTCTATTATTATTATTATTATTATCATCATTATTACTATTATTATAATTACAGAATATTGTTATTATTATTCAATTCAAAATTATTATTATTATTATTATTATAGCTATTATTATTATAATTGTTTTTGTTGTTAGTACTATTATTAAAATTAATTAGTAGTTTTACTACTATATTCTTTTAAACAAATACTAATTCCCCCGCCAAAAAATTTGTATACCCCCCATTAACTGATAGAATTTATGATGGGGTAGGGATCACTGGATTGGGTAATAAGACACCTAAGTTGAACAACATTAAAAGATTGAATCCAATCGATTAGTTAGTTCAACTCAAGAGCTTATATACCGATTATTTTGCTTTTGAACTTCCGATGTGGGATGACACTCTAACACTCCCCCTCAAGTGGACAACCGGGTCATTTTGAATCTAACCGGTTGACCACTTGCAAATAAACTCTCATTCCCTTGATTTTTTTAGCGCTAACACCTAAAGGACCACGATCCGCTGGGTATGGACTTCCAGACGAGCAATCGTGTTAAACGGGCCACGTGCTATTGGGTACATACTTCATACGGACAACTAGGCTAAAGACAAACGGGCCGTTTGACAAACGAGGTGGGCCAAAACCTGCTCTGATACCATTATAGAATTTAGGATTGGGTAGGAATCACTAGATTGGGTAATAAGACACTTAAGTTGAACAACATTAAAAGATTGAATTCAATCGATTAGTTAGTTCAACTCAAGAGCTTATATACCGATTATTTTGCTCTTGAACTTCTGATGTGGAATCACACTCTAACATTAACCTTTCCCAATCTCCACTTGAATAAAAGGAGACTAAAATATTTTAAATCTTTAACTGAAAATTAGTTTTGTTGATTTCATAATGTTTAATTTATCAATTTAAAATGGTTTACTCTGAAATTTATTTAGTTATAAATTATACTCCATCCCAAATTCATTTACACTATTAGAACAATGTGTGAAATCTCATATTTTTTAAATATTATTTTATCTATAAATTGGTATAAAAATAAAAAAATAAAAATTACATATTATAAAAACTATCAAAAGTTCTATAAAAAACATGCGACAAGGATATTTTATGTTGTCAAATGACTAATGGAAATATATGAGAAAACAAAATTTATCGAGAGACTCAAATAGTAAAAGTGTAAATCATTTTGAGACGAACATAGTACATAATAATTTCCAATAATCAGATGAAAATTTAACATGATGTATTTTAATGATAAAAATAGTGTTAAATTTCTTTTTATTATTTTAAACTATAACGTACTCCATATATTTTATAGCTTTGTAAATAACGGAGTAACAATTTTAAATTTATAAATTATACAAAAATGGATTATCAAAATTGATTTTCAACTAAAGAGTTAAACTATTTCAATCTTTTTTTACCCAAGTGGACATTGGGGAAGGTTATTGGGGCATACAAATTTAATTCGTTGGTGGGGCATTAGTGTTTTTTTTAGAATTAGAGTGGTAAAACTCCTAATTAATTTTAAAAATAATGATAGGATAAGAAAAAAGGGGGGTGGGGGTCTGGGAGGTCGAGGAGGATAATTAAAGAAGAAAAAGAAGAACAAGAAGACAAAGGATGATGAGAAGAAGACGATTATGATATAGATGATGATGAAGAAAAACTAACGGAGCAAATGGGGCAATTGGAGGATGGATAAAAAATCTCTTCTTGGTAACTTTTCAAATAATTAGAGGTACCCGGGAGTATATTTTTTAAATAAGTGGCATCTGACAGTTCTTATTACAAAACTGGGGGTACCTAAGAACAATTTTTTGATGTTTATAATTAAGTTCACTTCATCAAGTAAGTTTATCCTATAATTTTTAATTTTGTTATAAACTCGCACCATATTTTGACATTGAATACCCCTTATCTTTTGGTGCTAACTCTGTCCTGAAGTGTTTAAATTTAAAATGGATAAACTTTGGTCATTAATTAAATAAATTTTATATTAGATATTGATACAAAATAAATTTCATTAGATTTATGTTGTAAAATGTTTTCAAAATTCTACTTTATCTAGTTTTTATACAATGCAATTTTTATTTAATTGTAGGTCAAAAATCAATCATGGTTGACTGTAAAAACTCAAAATAGAAAAATGTTTTGTGACAGAGAAGTACTAATTTTACACTTAGTTCGACGCACTCATGATTTTTGACTTTTTTTAATATTAAAACTTCTCAATTTGTTTTATGGAAAAAACTTTAAATTTTTTTTAAAATTCTCATTTTTTAAGGAAAAAAGTTTTTTTGAACATTAAAACATAACTTTTGTTACTCTCCAAAATTTCAACAAAAATCATAACAACTCCAACAGCATCTAATTCAAATATCAAAAAAAGTTACAAAATTTTTCTACAAATCAGATAATAATTAATATAAGATATGATTTAGTCTATGGTGCCTTCACTTTTCGATGTATGTTGATGTAGACATTCATTTCTTGCCCTCCAAATACCATATATACAAGTAGCCCATATAGCAAATCCCTGGTCTCTTTTCTTGCTTTAGATTTTGTATAATTCAATTCCAACTTCTTCAAGAGAATTAGCTTGAAATTGAATATTAAACACATTCGCAACTGCTTTGTAGAGTTTTTGTATAAAATCATAGTGCGAGAAAAGATGAGTGGTTGTTTCATCCTCTCTACTACACAAATTACAATTCATATTAATGGTTATGAATATGCTCACTCTCTCCTTCATTTATAATCTACATCTTCATAATAGCGAGCATGAAATCCTAAACTTTGGAAGAGTACGTATATTTACACCACACCCAGTCACACCTCTTAGGCTTGAGTTTTACCCTTTGAAGCTACCCATAACTAGCCTTTATATTATAAGGCTTATCTCTTGGCATATCAGTGAAGTAGTTTTCAACATTCATCGTCTCTTTCTAGTAATGACAAGAGTCTATTTTGGGAGAAACTCCTAAAAATTAGTTACTTTGATGTACCTTTTGTGAATCCACTTTACCCGCAATATGTCTTTTCTCTCCATTATATCCTAGTTCAGTTTCATAATTACAGTTTAATTCCAAAAAGAGACTATTTTTTATACCCAAACCCCCATATTTTTTAGATTGACACACCTCTTCCCAATGAACTAGGGGGACCTTCCTGTATTCATGAGATCTCCCCCGAAGGAAATTCTTATCGATGATCATAACCTTCTTCAGCACCCTTAGCTTTTAGGTAAAATAAAATTCTTGACCAGAAAGTAATCACTCATAGCAAAACAGAGTTAATCAACCTTATCATAGCATTGTAAGGCAAATGTTTGAAACGCCACTAAGTAGTCTCATTTGTTAGTTTACTGATTATGGCATCACAATCAATAGTCTTCAAATCTGATGTGGTAATTAGGCTCCCAAGATAATCACAAGGTAGCTTACCCCATCTCATATCAGTTATCTTCACGATCTCAACTTGTTCATCTTCGTTAACTCTTCCTAACACAATTTGAGACTTGGTTTTATTGATCTTCATGCTAGTGGTTCTATGGAAAACATCCAACACTTCCATGATCCCCTGTATTGACCTAGTATCAGCCTTACTTAACTACTATCAAATCATTAGTGAAAGTGAGACTAATGATTTTCAAACTAGAGCTCATCGGGTGATAAAAGATTCTTTATTTTATCCTGCGCCGCTACTTTGAAACTTCTGGTCAAGTACTCCATAAGAAGGGCAAACAAAAAAGAACTTTTTAATTAATAGTTCCAATGAACCACATTATATATGAAATTATATACTAACATCTACATTTAAACATTACTCTACATAATTTTTTTTGTAAGATACAACAAGACAACTTGTATATAATAAATAGTGGTAAATGTTTGGCTTTTACAAAAAAACTAAAATAAACCAAACGAAACCATTCAATTCCATAAGAATGATATACGAATAGCTATTTTCAATGTTATCAGCTACAAGTCAACAAAATTATCCAATCTCACCATAGAGTGTGGAATTAGTAGAGTTCATGCATCTAGTCTCTTTTAGTAAATAGGTTCATAGTACGGTACATCAAAATGTTTATGTATATACCAATGGGGTTGATAGGTGGTAGATGGCTTCAGACTTCATAATCAGTTGAATAAAGTGGTCGCTGTTAACAAAACCTATTCCAACTTCCATACCTTTTTCATACATGAAAATGCAGTTGTCTGCTCAAGTGGCAAAGAGAGTGATTCACATATTCATTATGTGAAAAATACATTAGTGTCACTGAGTAACACGTTGCAATTAGAGTCCAAGTTAAGAGCATTTGTAACTATTTATCATATGGAGTTGTCTTTGTGTAGGAATATAACGTGCCAACAATCATGTCATACTTCAATCCAAACATTTTTTGTACATATCAACCTTCTAAACAAGTCACTTTAATTGTAATTCCACAACCCGATTATACGGAATTAACCGCATAATTGACTCACGGTGTTAGTAGTTTTCGAATATTTTAAAATAGTAATTGGAGCATCAATCAAAATTTATTTATTTAACACGATCGAAATAAACATTTTACATGCGGAAGCTTAGTCATTTGTAAAAAGCATTATTGGAATTTCAAACCACAATTTATTTATTACCATCTCATCCCACCTTTAGCATCCTAGCAGTGAGTCGGTGAATTTAAGCTTTGTTAGCGTCTTAATTTCGTGCACCTAAAAAAAATAAAGTCAACACGCTCAACAAAAAGCATAGTGATATCAATTATAACAGTAGAGTATGAAATATAATATCGTGAATATATACTTTTCACAAAAACTCTCTCTTTTATATTGATCAAATTATTTCACCAATTTCAAATCTCAGATGGTTGTAATGCTCTTATATTCAAAATTCTCACGTTCTTATAATTCTTTCATGTTTAACAGGGACTAATTAGTCCATTCAGAATCGGGAACTGAGCTTGTGAACCTAGTCCATTTATTTCGGGGACATGACAAAAAATGTCAAGTACGTACGACGATTTAGGGGTACCGGTTAACCCAGTTAAACCTCCCGAACCATAGTTCACACTTTAAAAATTGTTTATTAATTTTTATGAAAATAAACACTACTCACTTTTACATGGTATATATTCATATTGATGGGAACCAAGCTCATCGAGAGAATATCAGTAAATTGGGCCTTGACCCAATTTAGGTTCTGTACATTATGAGGAACACCCGGCCCACATAAAGTGTACTGGGACGACAAAGAGAAACGGTCCATGAGGCAAGATAGGGAAAAGAGTAGGATTGGGGCCTAAGCATGGGTTGAATCCCAGCCCCATTAAGAGCGGGCCACCAAGAAGAAAGGAACCCTACAAAGAAATTAGGGTAAACTGCCATCTCAAAGGAGGATGGACAATTATTCCTTGGATAGAGACAGAGAATAATGGACAAACAGACAGATTTGTCCTTAGGTGGATGACATTAAGCTAAGAAATGTGTTTCGGGGAAAACTGAGGATTGCCCGGATATCCTCCCCAACCACCGCGAATATGTTGATAAGATTGTGGCTGGGGAGCTTCTATAGAAGGAGAATAAGCTTAGATAGAAAGAACAACTGGTAATAGAGAGAGAAGAGACTTGAGTAATAAAAATATTCCGACGGTCCTTTAGCATATTCTGATCCCAATGTGGACCGAATAGAGGAAAGGATCACCGGTTTGAGCTCAATATCTTCAATTACAGTCCATTACTCTATTCATATTATTTTCTCACTATTATAAGGCCCGGATACTAATATTTAGACCTGGACCGATCAACAGTCTTAGGAAAAGTATCAGGCATCCATCACATATATATACCATGTAAAAGATTATATGAATATATACCATGTAAAAGTGAATAGTGTTTATTTTCTTAAAAATTATATTAATAAACAATTTTTGAAATGCGACCTATGGTTCTCGAGGTTTAACTGGGTTAACTAGTACCCCTAAATCACCGCCCACTACAAGATCTCGCTCTTTTTGCTACAAAAAATTTCCATCGCAGAAGCTCTACTTCGGTTGCAGAATCAGCATTTGCGATGGACTTGCGACAAAAATTTTCTGTCGCAATAAACTTGTCACATTTCCACATTTTTGCGACAGAACTTCATTTTTGTTGCAAATTTGCGACAGAAATTGCGACAGAGTAATACGTACTTTCTTTGCTACAGAATTCCCATCCTGTCGCAAATTTGTGACAGTAGTTCCGACAAAAACTAATAATTCTAATTTAAACGCACCATATTTAAAGTAGCAGAATGCTCTTTTAGAAAAATGCACCAGATTTATAATAGCAGAATGCTCGTTCAAGGCTATACAAACAATATTAAATTTAAATGATTCATCAAAACACAAAATCTTTTGAATTCAATCACAAAACTCAATCCGTCAAAACACAAATCTGTTGAATACAGTTTAAATTTAAGACTTGAACTTAAAACTTAATAGAGTTGCTTATTGAGAAATCGAAATCATGCCACACAACCCGTTCTTGATCCTCCCATCACATCGTCACGGTCTTGAGATGACGGAAGATTTTCGCCACATAGTCTTCGTACGACGAAGGTGACAGCAATTAGCAGAGCACTGTGAAATAACTTCCAGGAAAAAAGGACAGGCCCCATCCCCGAGGTCTTTCTCAAACCCGGCAAGACGATCACCGAGTGGGGGTACATTGGACTTTGATCGTATATTGGTAGGAAAGAGTGGAGCATGCGTCTGGTACTTGCAGAGGCCCTATGCTTAAAATAGTTTCCTCTTAGCGCAGTGCCAGGAATCGAACTCGAATCTTACCCCTTGGCACTTCTTTCCTTTGCCAATTGCGCTAAGCCCACCAGCTTTGGAATAACTTTTGAAAATACTCTGTATGTGGAAATCATTTGGAATGAGGTGGATTTAGTAAAAGTGTAATGAATTTCTAGAGGCTAAAGTCACAATGGTCTTTCTCTATTAGGTCAAAATAGTCAAAATAAAATTGGGCTGAATTTAATTTTTAAGGATGCGCTCTGCTAGCCTGATATGATTTTTCAAAGATCTGGTCTGATTTAATTTTAATTTTATGTAAACTAGTTTTTGATCTTATCTAACTAATCTGACTTTAATAAGGATTAAGTCATAAAGTGAAAAAATAAGTTGAAATTTAAGGCATCAAAGAAAAAACCAGCGCCTTGGTACTAGGGGTGTTCAAAAATATCCGATCCGAAATATTCGTCCACGATCCGGGCCAATCCGATCCGAAAATGGATATCCAATCTGATATTTTAGCTGTCGAATATTTTGGATCGGATGCCCGAGAAAAATCGGATCGGATATGGATTCAATTTCTGGAATTTTTCGGATAATCAGATATCCGATTTTATTTTTTGCTATATGTTTTTGGAATTTTATGGATACATATTATGACTATATGTTTAAATTAATTTTATGTTGATTTTGGAACTAAACCATTTTGGACTTTTTACATTAGCATTTTACAATCTTTTGTTTTAATATTGTTTTTTTTGTTTAGACAAAATTACCAAAGTTACTCCCAAATGGTTGATTTTGATATTTTACCCTTTTTTTATTTATAAATATTGGCTAAAAACTCAACTTTTCGGATAATCCAGTGATCCGATCCAAAAAATCGAATATCCGAATATTTTTAGATCGGATCAATCCGATTGAACACCCCTACTTGGTACTAATGAGCGACTCGTGCTATATTTTCAACAAATAAAACTACGTGTGCAGTTACCATCGAATATGGGAACAAATATTATTGTTCTTAGCAAGACAACAACAGCGCCTGTAGCTCAGTGGATAGAGCGTCTGTTTCCTAAGCAGAAGGTCGTAGGTTCAACCCCTATCTGGTGCGATATTTATTTTTTTTATATCTTTAATCTTACTAGACTCGCCCGTGCGATGCACGAACTATTAATTAACTAAATTTGTAATTTGGTTTCATGAAAGAAAGTTTTCATTGCAAATTAAAATCTTTAACTATTTAACTATTATTTTAAAGAAAAAATGAATAAATTTTACTCTGTATGATATAAATAAATCGGATTCAAATAAAGTGGATGGGTGAGAAATCAAAAAATGAATTTATATGATACATAAGAACTTAATAAATATTTGAGTTAACACCAATAAAAATAGAGACCAGTTACCATGACATTGGAAATTAATGTCATAGGATGACTCGAAGGTCCTTCGGTGCACCGTTTATAAAATTAACGATTCTTACCTCAGTAATCCCCAAGTACCAAAAATCTTATAAGCATTATTTAAATATAAATAACTTGAAATAAAAAGAAGAAAATGGTGTTATCTCTTCGTCTGTAGTTTTTTTATTGCAGGAATTAAATCATTGTGTATGGACAGAGTTATCATTTCGATCCTATCCCATAACTCTATTCTCAGGACACTAATCTCTTTTGTTATCAGCAATCCGACTTCACCATTGTCAACTTCGAGAATGTATCAAACCCATCTCCCTCTCACCTAAAAAGAATCCAACACACGACGCATTGAATTTTTTATTAAGCATTTCCAAACTACAGTTCAAAACTTCAACAAACATATATATAGATGATCTTAGACCTTGAAAACACATAAAACCTCACCTCAAAGAAACTCAATTTTCAATTGGTAACAATTATTATACCACTAATCCAAATATGCTTGAAAAAAAATCTAAGTATCTTTTGAAGATCGTAAAAAAAATTTGCAAAAAAAAGATGGAAACATGCATATAATGTCAGAGATAGAAACATGCATATAATTTACACTAATTCATATAGATTTTCTTTGTACTCCATATATGTTAAGAGATGGAAATTGGATAGATCTTAATGTCAGAATACTCTCATATCAATTAAATCAAAATGGGTCTATTCAAAACCATAAAATCAACTTTTTTCTTACATAGGGGCCATTAGTTTAAAAACAAAGCCATATCCTCGTTGAAAAATAAAAAAATGAAAGATTTGGTATGATGATTCTCAATTGTTAAAAACACACACATAAAAAGTAGAATAAATACTTACCTTTTTTTATACTGAACCATCCTTCTCTTCATGTCCAAAGAGACTTCTGTTTGGCTACTACATCACCTGAAAATTAAGTAGCTAAACACTGAGTCTGTAAACTTCAAATTATTATCATAATTGAAGCAAAGAATAAATTTATGACTATTGTATTCCCCCAATCGATAATCATTACATGGTTAAAGATATTAACACATAGTGCACATTAAATAAAGAATAGTTTTTAATAAGTGTCTTAGTAAAACTGAAATCAACTCATTTCAACGGGAGGGAAAGCTATCAAAAAAGATTGTAATTAAAAAGACCCAGGCCTCTTCCTATTTTTCTTGGATTGCACCAGAAAGTTTTTATGAATTTTTTCAAGGAAAGGGGAGGCGGTGAGTTATGGCATTGACATTCAAACCTTCCTAAAAAAGTTAATAGAGATATATAGGTATAGCTTTTGATACAAAGGTAAAAGAATTTGAGTGAGTTTTCACTCTATTAAGAATGAAAAATTAATACAAACCAAAAAATTATATGGGAAACCCTACCTCAACATGAATATCACATAATGCTTCCATATGCATCAACACACAATCTGTTGAATCAAGTGAAGTATTCATCTCAACTTCATCCCTACAATCTCATAAAAAGTCAAAATAATCTTAAGTGTTGAATTCAACTTTGCCTCTAGAATCTCATTAAAGACAAATAATCGTAATGAAACTCAAAATGTAATAACTCAATGTAGCCACATACCCTCGTGATAACCATCATATGCGCATTTTAAAATTCACAATGCATAATCTCTAAACAAACCTATAAATAAAAAAAGCTAATACGAAAGAGAAGAGAACATTACTAAATATCTGGTAAAGATGCATCAACGTTCAGCAAATTCATTTTGAGGTTTTAGATAAAATTAAAAATATAAAATAAATATGAACGAAGGAAGATATTTGATCGTAGATTACTGCCTATGTCCAACTCTATCAACCTCTGCTAGGAACGGAGTCCATTAACTCGGTCTGAATTCATGTTTTGGTGGAAGAAAGATCCAAACAGGCTTAGATATCATTTTGGATGAAAATTAAACTGAATTTGAAATTAAAGTTGTGTAAGAACCTGACCTTCTTCGCCCTAATGAAATCCAACTGTTGTCGTCCTTGCTACTTTTGAAAGCACATAAAACTTCACATCAAGGACATAAAAGTTTCAATTAATAATAATTATTAACCACTGATCCAATTATGTTTGCAAAAAAATCTAAGTTTCTTTAGAATATCGTAAAAAAAATTCAAAACAGGCACTGGCCTGTGAGACCTGTAAAGGAGAAGATTGTAGTGAATGATAGCAGCTTTCTTAACACTCTCCATGTTTGTCTTACTCTGGTACCCCAAACCAAGCATGTGCCAGGACGGGTCGATTGGGTGGACGTAGCTCTTGAATGCAATCAAAGCAGGGGGGAGCGTTCCTAGCCTCATTAGAGGATGAGAAAAGTTGAAGTAATTTCTGAATCGCTTAGAAATAACATGCGAATCTTCTCTTTTACATGTATTGACAGCCCCATTAACCTGGAACTAATTTCAGATCAGCAACTGATGCAACTCTTCCTTCCAAATAGCATTTTCAACCAATTTCGCTTCTAATATCGTTTGTGTGATGGACTAAATGAGAAAAGTGAAGACTACTCTTGAGAAAGACCAGTGGCCTAAGCTGCTACCATTGAAACACTCAGTAATATGGAAATTAAATTACTAATTAAATTTTATTGCCTTTACAAAAAATAGAGCATCTAATTCGACATGGCGTAAAATGGAGATGAAGAAAATGTGATATCGTAAGATAGATTCTCTTACCCGTCTTGTCTATATACCGTACACCCATGCTTTAGCCGGATCTTTTTCATGCTTTTAGGAGATTGAGATGATGGAATGGGAAGAAATCTGGCTTCTACCATTAGAGTATTTAGCCGGATCTGCACAATATAAGAGATCTAAAATACTGGATGAAACGCTTAAAGCTGTAGAAGATAAAAGATTATGTAATCCGTTGAAACATACCTGGTTGAGCTCGTTGACTTCTCATTCATTGCAGACCAATCGATGCACTGTAGTTTCCGGTCAAAGCCCCTCCGTACTGCCAGAATCCAGCGAGGCTAGGGTTGAAGGTTAGCCGGCGTTATAGTCACCCACCTTGTTCCGTCCGAAGCCATGTTGCCCTAGTTGCTTTTCCTTCTCATGTTGATATAATAGAAGAGAAAAGTGTAGCCCCCGATAAGAAAAGCGTATAGAGCCAGGAGCGATTAGCTTACAAAAGAAGCTGGCGGGAACACTCTTTCCAATTGGTCAATTTATTGTTCCAATTTGCCTCCTAGATTTCGTACTCGTGCGATGCACGACCAAAATTTTACTAAATGGTTGTATGTTGTCCATGGTCGTGACTCGCCAGTTCTAAGTCTCCATTGTGTCTCCAATCTAGCCACAAAAGACATTTCAAATCCTTTAGAAATTTCATATCCTTAAGAAAATAGTCTCACAAATAAAGCACCAAATACATACTCCGTAATGCACATGTCTCTTCTGATTTTCTAAAGGTTTATGCTAAACCTTAAACTTCCGATTGTTTATTTGCTACTCCAATTCTGTTACTTTGTCTTTCTGATCAGATTCCTAAGAAAAATTTGTAGGGGAGGGAGGAGGGGGGCTTGGGAAAAAGAAGAGTAGGGAAGGCGAAATTGGAAACCCAACCTCTTTTTTATCCAATGCCAAGTCACAGTCGACTATTAAAAGCATCTTTAAATGCTCTTAGGCACATGCTGGAAAGAAGAAGCATTCTAAATAAAATCATTCTAAATGGTTTTTATATATTCCAACTTCAACAGAGAAGAAGCATCATGGAAAGAAGCTATTGCCTAGATTCACCACAACCCTCCTCTACTTCTCCCTACTCTTCAGACCCTCATTATCCACCCATTCTTTGATATATAGATGAAATAAATGAATATAGTATACATTATAGGAGAGAAATGTAAATATTATAGGTTGCTTCTATTTTGGTTTACCTTTATTTTCATCAGAAGCTTGCAATCCATATGTGGTCATTCGAAAGCTCTATGGCCACCCTTGTTGATCCTCAACCTGTGAATCTCACAACTCTAGAGTCATGTGCTTTAGAAAATATATCTAACACAAAATAATATCATTCCAATTAAAATAGGAGAACCAAAATCATCCCAAAAGAAAAAGGAAAATTGTTTTATAACTTAGCATGTTTAAAGCTAGTAATACAACCCACACTACGAAGCAACAAAAATACGAATATGGAGTATAAAAGAACAGGTATACAGGTGTTAGCTAGCTTCCAAGTAAGTGATGTGTTTAAATGTTTACCACCATCCGTGTAGCTTGAAATAATTCCATAGTGGAAGATGAGCCCAAGATCTGAGCTAAAAGTAGGACCTGAAAAGAAATAAAGCATAAGGATGTAAGAAAGACAATAAACTCAAAAGACCAATGGAGCAACAAAGTTTCCTAGCCTGATACACCGCCAAAGAAACAAAACTAAAAATTTGAAAAAGAGAATGAAACCAATTGCTAGAAAATCATACCATAAGTATAAGGGAATCAAAATAGAAAAATTGAAGACAAAATTGTAGAAATCTGGAAGACAAAATTGTAAAAATTGAAGACGAAAGCTCTATGGCCATCTATCTCCATGCTTAGCAAAAATATGGGGAAAAAATTCCTTATAAATTTTAAGACAAAATTGTAGAGATTTCGATTTTGTGATTTTGAAAATCAAAATACCAAAAAAAAGTAAAATAAAATTTAAAAAAATACCTAGAATTTTCTTCTTTGCTTTATGTACTTAATCTATTTTTATATGCTTGTGAACAAAAGTGTCCTATTGTACCATGTTTAAACTCTTGATGGATGGAGAGAGTTTTCCTCAGAAAATTACTGACGGGTGACGCGAGTTTTGTTGAAATAACTCTCAGGTCCCTCTATTTTCAAGAAGACAGCAGAGGTCCTTACATTTTGTTGTAATGACTGGAAGGGGACATTTCATCCAATATTTCATCTATAAACATTAATAAATGTATTTTTTTCCTATTCTTTTCTAAATGTTTTAAGGTGATAAATCTTAGGTCACTCCTTTTTTATTTCTTTGTTTTTCTTTCATTTTGTTACTATTTTTTAAAGTGTTATTTTAGAATTTCTTCTATAAAATCGTATAAAAATTCAAAATTGTTTGTATTATATTAAAACTAATGAAATAAAAAAATTTAAAAAAAGAAAAAACAAGGTAATGGCAAAATAGGAAAAAACGGTATTGGAAAAATAGGAAAAAAAATACATTTATTAACACTTGCGGATGATGTATTGGATGAAATGTCCCCTCCCAGTCATTACAACAAAATATAAGGACCTCGGTTGTCTTTTTAAAAATAGAGGGACCTGAAAGTTATTTCGACAAAATTCGCGTCACCCGCGAGTAATTTTCTGGAGTTTTCCTATACCAATGACGTCAATGATAAAATTCAAAAGGTGGAACATTTCATAAGCTCTGGTGGCCTCACCAATAGTTGCTCAAAATGGAACTAAAATGAATATTAGAAGAAAGAAAGGTAATTAATTACTCCCTCCGTCCTGAAATGTTCTTCCCACCTACTATTCACACACTCAAACTTTAATCACTTTCTTTACCTATTTTCATTAGATATTTGATAAAATAATATAGTCTTGTCACCACTTGTTTTGTAGAACTTTTGATGTAGTTTTTAAATATATAAATTTTATTTTTTAATTTTACACCTACAATCAAATAAATTGAATTAAAATTAAAGTCGGTCAAACTTCGTAAACAGAACCGAGAAGAACATTATAGGACGGAGGGAGTATCAAACTAAATTAATTATACCTGCCAACCCCCTTCGTCCAAGCAAGATCCAATCGTTGTGGATGTGACTACGTCTTTTTGAGTCTTTTCGTCGAACACACAGTGGGCATTGCTCATCCAAACCAATTCCTTATCTTCAACTACAAAATCAGACATCTACTTGAGTAAATATGTAAAATCGAAGATAAGAAGAAGAAGAAAAGGAAAATGAGGAAGTAGAAGACCTGCAGCTGTAGGCAACCCTAAGTTGAGGCTATTTCACGCAGCCCTCCCCTATTATTTTTTATCAGAGATGGAGATGCTCGCTGCCGTTGCGCGAACGTGGAAGAGAATCGGCCAGCGGATGGATAGAACCCATGATCCAGAAGAACCACCCTGCGGACTCCGGCAGAAGATGAGAGCGGCAGCGCACATCTCTGCTGAAGCACCACATCTGAGAGGACGAATGACAACGTTGAAAGAAGCCTAGACAAAATCGGCGTGCGAAATCCCAGACCAAAATCGCCAGTACTCCAGTACTCCAAAGCTTCTCTCATGCGAAATCCCATAAGATGAGTGAGTATGCCGAACGCAAAGCTTCTCCCGTACTCCAGTACATGCGCAGGAAGTTTTTTTATGGGTCCAGATCTCACGGCATATAAAATGGGCGGGAGCACGGTAGAAAAATACATCTTACCATAGTACGGAGTATATAGTAAAAAAGTCCATTCTGATTCCTTACGTGCACAATATGTACCCTACAACCACCGGTAGGAATGTAAACAGATATTAATTGGGTCGGATGTCTCATTACCAAATCTGTATCCGTTTATTTTTTTCGGATATCAAATTCGGATACGAATCTTGGAGGATATTGAAAATCAAAACCGTATCCGCATCCATCGGTTATCGGATATATCCACATCCGTTTCTAATTTTTAAAATCAAATTAAACAATACTTTAATTTTAAATTAGATTAAAGTTAAATTATTATTAAATCAACTATAATTTGTTATGGGATAATTATTTTCTTTGTTTTCATGATTTATGATATTCTACGGTAACTTTGTATTATAAAAAGATTTACACATTACATATATACACATATTTTTATATGTCTGCACATTTATTTTGTATATAAAAATGTCTTATACTTTGAAATACCAATAGAGAAACAAAATAAAAACATAAAAAAATTAGGAAAAACTGTATATAACGGATTGGATATTCGGATAAACGTTTATTTAAACGGATGCATATTCGGATCGAATTTTAAACGGATCGGATATACAATTACCAAATCCATATCCGTTTAGTAATCGCATATCCTTAACCGGATACCGATAATATCCGTTTTAAACGGATGCTGATATTTCCTCTTTAAACGGATACGGATGCGAATGGGAATCCGATTTTCGGCTATCCGTCGACAGCCCTAACAACCGACTCATTTTCGAGCATGAATAATAATTCTCGAGTAACTGAATACTCATTTTTCAAAAATTTAGTTATGTTAAAAAATGAACATTCCAACCCCTTTCAAGCGCAACATATACCGTACAACCAGCTCATTTTCGAGCAAGTGAATAATAATTCTCGAGTAACTGAGTACACTCCCTTTCGTGGCCCACACAACTCAAGGTTGAAAGTTGAAATAAAGTTTTTAAAATAAAAGATTATCTATGAGAGGTAATTGAACCTTTTTCACTATCTTCTAGAAATAATTTCAATTTTAGATTTTGTCTTTCTTTTATTAATTTTTAAAAATTTTAAAATTGCATTTTAAAAATATAACAGTATACTCTAGTTAGAGATTTGTCTTAGTCTTTCAGAAATATAATGATTCAAAAATTTTGTAATTTTATTTTAGGAAAAATATAATATTGGAATATCTAAAATCATTTCGAAGTATGTTTGAGGACAAAATTTGCAATAAAAGACAATTGTACTAAGCTATATAAATTTGCAATACAAAATAGTTGTACCATTTTCATAAAATGAATTTACTTAAATATCACTAAAACATAATGACTTTCTCTAAATACTATCATATGTGTTTTTTTCTCAATGTAGCATTTTTAGTCATTATCCATTAGTCATTATTCAAGTAAATGTTTCCCATCACTGACATTATTCGTCCTTCTGGACATTATTAAGTGTTTTTATAGAAAAATACATTTTAAGTGCTATTTAGAGAAATGAGTTAAGTTTTAATGCTTTTTAGTGCAAATATTTTTTTCATAACTCTAGTAAAGTTATTTTATAAAAATATTTATACCAAATTATCTACCGAAAAAACAATTAGAGTCTGTTTGGTACACAGAATTGACAAAATTGGAATTGAATTGTGAGTTAAAATTCAATGGAATTGATTTTGATGAGATTGAATTTTCAATTTCAATTCATTTTTGGTACTACCAATTCCAAATTTAGATATTTGTGTGTTACCAAATAGCATAATTGAAATTGTTTCCCTAAATTCTAATTCCATGATTTGAATTCTATCTACCAAGCAGAGCCTTTTAGTCAATTTAAAAATACTCTGTAACATTTAGGGGGATGTATTCAATTAGGATTGTATTAGAATTTTTTTGAATTTAAAAAGTAGGTGAATTTAAAAAATCCATGGATTCTTCATAGAGTTTGGCCCACTTTCTAATAGATTTAAATGGATTTTAAAAATTGTTTTCTAAAGCTTTTTTCCTTCGAGCGAACACCACACTACATCGAATAAAACATCAAATCAAACATTAAACATCCATCCTTGCAGAAGAAAGAAGGAGAGAGACTGGGGAATTTTCTCTTTTTTCTTTCCGTTCTTCCAATTGTTTTGCTTTCTCTTCTGCGTTTTATTTTTATTTGTTTAAACCCAAAAATTGTTCCCCTCTCTCTCTCTCTTCCCTCGTTCTTCGTGTCGTCGATGTCTGCATCCCTCCCTTTCACTGGTTTTTTTTTTTGCAGAGAAACAATTGTGGTAATGAATTCATATCCATTTTTGTTTGGCGTTCTACTTTCGCGTTAGGCACAATTATTAGAGGAAACCGATCAGGAGTAATGAACTCAGACAGTACTGTTCCCAAATCTTCTTCCTTGTCAGATCTGACATTTTTATTTTTCATCAGGATTTCATTTTCAGTGCGTTGAAGGCTCTTCAATTCCCTTTCACTGGTTTTTTTACGGAGAACAAGTCCGTAGAAATCTCCCATCTTGAGAAGGGATTTCAAATAAGCATATTTTATGGGAGAATCTACCAAAGTCCATGTACTATTAAAATTCATGGACTTTTGAATACTTAGAGATTTTTTAAGACTTTTTAAAATCCTTCTTGAATACCTCAGGATTTTTAAGGTCTTTTTAATATCCGGATTGAATACCTTCAGATTTTAAAAGTATTAAAAAATCCCATAGACTTCCAATTGAATACACCCCCCTGAATCATACTCCCTCCATTTCGGTGTATTCGTCAACTTTCGTTTTGACACAAATACTAAGACATAAAGAAAAATGGTGAGAAATGTCAAAATATCCCTATGGCACTCCAGCTATTGAACCAGAGTAGTCATAAATTGAGTTGGAGAATTAAAAGTTTTCCATGTTTATAATATTTCTATGTATGTATCTTTCCATGTATATATTTGGGCTTGGCCCAAAGCAGCCCAAACCTACTTGTATTTATCTGTTGTGCATATTCAATGAAAATCAATTCAGGCTTTCACAAAATTCAACATGGTATCAAAGCTAATTTCCCGAGAACTGTTCAAACCCTAGGCTCGTTTTTTTCCAAAGTGTCGTCGCCGACACTTCTCTGACCGGCTCACGACGGTCGCTGATTTGTCAACACCGGCTCACGTCGGTCCCCTCCACGACGCCGGCTCATGTCGGATTCCCAGCAGCCGCCTCACATCGGTTGCATCTTCATCACCATGACAGCCGAAACTCCAAAGAAGGTACAGCTTATCCATGACCCTACTTCTCCATATTGCATCCATCCATCCGAAAGCGCGGGTAACTCTCCGACGAAACATCTCCTTAAGGGTGATAATTATGATATTTGGGAGAAAACCATTGTGAATGCCCTTGAAGGGCGTAGTCGAGCAGGTTTTCTGCTTCCTTCCAGATTTCCAAAGCCAACTGATGAATAGGAACTTTCGGCGTGGAAAGCCAATAATTCCATTATTTTCTCTTGGATCTGTAACAGTGTTGATGAACATATTCAACCTTCTATTATTTCTCATAAAGTTGCTCATGAATTGTGGTTGGATTTGAAGACTCGGTATGGGGGATCCAATGGTCTCATTGTGACCTATGGGGACGCTACACCCTGTGCTTAGCTAGTGGTGCTCATTATTTTCTCACTATTTTGGATGATCATTCTCGAGTCGTTTGGGCTTATCTGATTATTGATAAATCTGAAGTACCTAGTTGCTTGAAACATATTTTTGCCATGATTCAGACCCAATTCCATAAAACAATTAAAATTGTACGTTCTGATAATGGAACTGAATTAGTCAATCAGAACCTTCGGACGTACTACGCGTCCTTAGGTGTTCTTGTTCAAATTTCTTGCGTTGGTACCCCCAACAAAATGGTTGGGTGGTACGTAAGCATAGACATATTTTAAATGTCGCCCGATCACTTATGTTTCAAGCTCATTTGCCTATTGAATTTTGGGGGGAATGTGTTTGTACCGCTGTGTATTTAATCAATCGTACTCCCAACAAACTCCTTGGTGGAAAGTCCCATTTTGAGGTCCTCAACCACAAAGTCCCTGATCTTAGTCACCTCGGAATTTTTGGGTGTTTATTCTTTGTTCGTCTTAAAACTTCTAACAAATTTTTCCCCGCATCACCAAGTGTATGGTTGTTGGGTACCCCTCTGGTACAAAAGGTTGGCGTGTGTATGACCTTGATACTCACCGTTTTTTTCACACTCAGGACATAGTTTTTGACGAGAGCCAATTCCCGTTTGCCACACATCACATGCCGACCGAACCTACTACCTCTACTCCAATGACCGATTTTCCCGAATTACCCCTGCCTGATCCCCCTCTGGTTTTTCCTGCCGTCCAGCCGACGGTACCTACTCTGGTCGCACAACCCGCCGCACCGGACACAGAAGGGCGACCAGCCATCCGACAACCCATCTCCCTCCCATACAGTCGCCGTTCCATTTATTCATCCTCAACGACAGCATCGTCAGCCTTCCGACCTTAGTGATTATATCGTCAATTCTGTTTAATCTCATGTCCCGTTGTGTTCATCTCCTCCACGGTCCTCATCTTCAGGTACGCGTTATCCTATTGCCAACTTTGTTTGTTATCATAAATTGCATGACAGGTACCACGGTTTTCTTAGGGCCATCAGTCCGCACTTTATTCCTAAAAATTATTCTGAAGTTGCTCCTCATGCCACCTGGCGGGCAGCTATGCAAGCGGAGCTTCAAGCCCTGGAAAATAACCACACTTGGGAAATCACAGAGCTACCATCTAACAGGACGACTTTGGGGTGTCAATGGGTTTTCAAAACCAAATTTGATTCTGATGGCTCTAAGTAGCGGAACAAAGCCCGCCTAGTTGTGCTTAGCAATCATCAGACATTAGGGGTTAATTACACAGATACATTTGCCCCGGTAGCAAAAATGGGGTCCGTTCGGGTCTTGCTGTCCGTTGCCGTGGCCAAGGGGTGGCAAGTGCACCAGCTTGACATCAACAACGCTTTTCTCCATGGTGATTTGATTGAGGAGCTGTACATGCGCTTGCCGCCTGGCTATGCACATCTTCATCCAAGAAAGGTTTGTCGCCTGCTCAAGTCTCTATACGGGTTGCGATAATCGCCACGCAATTGGTTTGCTAAACTCACTTGCACCCTTAGACGATACGGGATTCGTCAAGCCCATGCTAATCATACTCTCTTTATTCACCAATGTGGTTCTCATATTCTGATTGTCCTGGTTTACATTGATAACATTTTGGTTGCAGGTAATAACTCCACTTTGTGTGCCTCTTTCGAATCCTATTTACACCGGTGTTTTCGTCTCAAGGATTTGGGGCCCTTATCATATTTCTTGGGCATTGAGTGTGCTCGGTCAGCAGCGGGGATTGTTCTGTGCCAATGCAAATATGATTTAGACATCCTTCATGAGGCCGGTTTATTGAGTTGTAAGCCGGCGGACACCCCCATCACACCGAACCACAGTCTGGCTTGCTCTACTAGCACCGAGCTACATGATCTGGGTCAATATCGACGCCTTGTGGGTCGCCTAATCTACCTCTCTATCACTCGGCCAGATCTATCTTATTCGGTTCATGTCCTCTTTCAATTTATGCATGCACCTCGCCTTGATCATATGGACGCTGCAAAGCGCGTCCTTCGCTATTCGAAGGGCCATCCAGGACAGGGAATTCTTCTATGAAGTGATAGTTCTCTTCAACTGTCTGCTTATTGTGACTCTGGCTAGGCATCCTGTCCTCTTACCCGCAGGTCTGTTAGTGGTTATTTTATTTACTTAGGTGGTTCTCCTGTCTCCTGGAAAATAAAGAAGCAAACCACAGTGTCGCGCTCCTCCGCCGAAGCCTAATATCGTGCTATGGCTAACGATTGTGCAGAGGTCTGATGGATTTGTGGCCTTCTTGGTGCGCTCGATATTACTCCAGCGACGACGCCTCATTTATTTTGTGACAATAAATCTTCTTTATTTATTGCTGCTAATTCTATCTTTCATGAGAGTATGAAGCATATTGATATTGATTGCCATATTGTCCGTGAGTGTGTTCAGCGCCGAGAGATCACCACAGCCTATGTTCCTAATCGCTTGCAACTTGCCGATCTGTTCACTAAAGCTCTGAACAGATCGCTCTTTTCTTTCCTACTATCCAAGTTGGGCATTTGTGATCTCCATGCTCCAACTTGAAGGGGAGTGTTAGCATATATAGTTATATTTTCATGTTTATAATATTTCCATGTATGTATCTTTCCATGTATATATTCGGGCTTGGCCCAAAGCAGCCCAAACCTACTTGTATTTATACATTGTGAATATTCAATGAAAATCAATTCAGGCTTTCGCAAAATTCTACAAAAAGATCGAAACATTAAAATATCCATAGCTTCCATTATGAGATAATGCTCTGATCCATTTCCTTGCTCTGAGGTATGAGTCAGATCTTCGCCTTCTTTGCTAGGGTCGTTGTAGCCATGTTCACCATTGCCATCATCGACGTTGCCTCTGACATTCTTCCTGTATATATTTTTATATGTATATGTTAATTGTTTCCATAGAGAGTTCTTATCCGGTGGGATCCTATATTTGAACATAGTTCAACTCATTTCGTTGAATAAATGAGTGTAACATAGTGAAACATTTTAAACGAATCTCTGTCAACTCATTTGAAACGAATCCTTAGAATGAAATTGGAAAAAAGTTAATCCGAAAGGGTCATTTTGAAAAATTACTTTACATTTAAATGTTGAAAATACCTAAATTTCTTCCACTAAACATACATTTAACAAACATATACGGAGGACACTGAGTGAAAAAATATCTATTATAAAGTACAACATAGATAGTTAATGCTTAATAACACCGATTTTGGAAAATACCTTATTCGAAAAGACTATTTTGAGATTACTCAAGGAAATTTATAGTTTATAATTAGGTGACTAAAAGACTTAAGACTATATTTTCTAAGAAAATTTTAAGTGTCATGATTATGTACTTTATTTTTAGACAAATGGATAATACGTATACTATGAGATTGGTTCAATGCATATCTTAGAAATTTTGTTTATGGTAAGATGACTAATTATGATATGAAATAAATGTATTTCCATACAATCTGACTATTTTTAAAATATTGAATTATTAAAATAAACAAATGAGAAAAAAGAATTAATAAGACTTTTATACTTTATCTTGGTAACTTGATTTACTATTTTAATAAAAATAATCTTATACTGTAAGTAATGATTCACTCCGTACATACTTATATTGTGTTATAATTCAAAATGTTTATGCATAAAACTAAGAAAATTTGATTGAGAGATGACTTACTTCCTACGTTTTCATTTACGCAATCGTGCATGGAAACTTCATAGGATGATATTTTATGAGACGACACAGATTTATGCAAAGAAGATTGTGACAAAGAAGATCAAGGTGTCGAGGGGAGCGTGAGAAGATTTGTGACAATGAAGATTTAGGATAATAAAAAAAGTAAGAAAAATTATACAGAAAATCCAGGGTGCAATAGCTAAGAAGTTGGAGACTAAGTTACAGGTTACAACCACATCAAAGAAAATACAATTTCTAATTTGCAACTATTTGTATTTTGATAGAACATTTTATATCTTGACCAGAATACTATCTCAACAAAATCATTAGAGCATTAACATTTTAATGTTTTTTAAAATTAATGTGGGGGAGAAGAATAATTGATTCTTAATCTCTTAAAATTAAAAATTTCAATCACGGAGATTTAGGATCACTAATGATTAACTGTTTTTAACATTTGACTTATAATTTAATTAACGATATATTATATATTAAGTAGATAAAATAATATTTTGAAAATGAATGATAGGATTAATCAAATAAAACTAATTCTGTATTAGTATCTAATATCATTTTTATTTCATTTAAGGACAAAATTTACCAATATTGACAAAAAATTCAAAAATAGACAAATACTCAGGGACAGATGGAGTATATATTTATAAGGTCGGTAATTTAGGTTTTTTAAATTAATGTGAGGAAAAAGAATCATTGGATCACTAATACTTTTTTAATTGATATATTTTTGAATTTATACAGGGAGAAAAATTATAGATTTGTAGAAATACATCCATCCTAAATCATTTATATTTGACTTTTAAATAGTATGCCAAATAAAAAACAAGATCCACATTGTGAAATCAAAAAAAATTTCATCTGAACTCGTGCATGGCATGGGTAGAAATACTAGTGCTAAAATCATGGGAAACTTATTATATAGCATTAATTGAGATATGGTTGACCTAGAAAATACCTTTTCACCCTTATTTATTTGGTTTAAAGTTAAAAAATTAATTATATAAACTCCAATGATCCGACGTTCATGGGTCATTCTTATTTTTTCATAAATCTCATTCTTACCAGAACATATACATACATACATATGTATGTGTGTGTGTGTGTGTATATATATATATATATATATATATATAGACACACTTCACGAGCAGTATTAATTTTTTAAATGTAAAAGTTTCTTTTTAAATTTACAATTAAATAAATGAAATTACTAAAAATAAAGTCGTCAAAATCATAATGTGTAACGAGAAGAATATTTTCAAAGGGATTGAGAACATATGGCCAGGGCCGGCCCCGAAAATTGAAAAAAGTAAAATTAGCCCGGTCCTAAATTTATATTTTGGGCCCTATTTTATTTTTTAAGAATACTTTTCCTTAAAAATTATTAACAAATTTAAAAATATGGGGCCCTAGAATTTTAGGGGCCCTGTGCGGTTGGCCACTTTGCACACCCTTCGGGCTATGGGTGGACACGGTACCGGTTCGGTACTGTGACCGGCGACGATACCGCCGGTACCTGCCACCGTCATGCCGTCTCGTTCGTCTCACCGGTTCCGGGAACCGATACCGGTACCGCCCACTTCGGTACCGGTTCCGGTACCCAATTTTTGGTACCGGCACCGACGGAACCGGTCCGGTTCTGGTACCGGTATATTTTGTTTTTCTTTTTTGCTTCCTATCCGTTGCATTGCTGCGAAAAAACAGAGGGGGGGGGGGGGCTACCTCAACGGCTAAATAGCCATTTGAGGCATTGGGGGGAGGGGGGAGGGGCGATAAACTTATAAATACTTCCATTGTTTAAAAAAAATCATTCAATCCATCTCTCATTCTCTCAATCTATCAATCTCTCAAATCTCAATCTCTCAATTCTCAAACCTCAATCTCTCAATCTCAATCTTATATTCTTATTATTATCTTTTATATATTTTTTTAAAATATTTTATATATTAATATATAAAATTTAGAAATTAATTTAAATTTTTGAAATTTAATATTTTATTTTATTTAATATCAAAAAATATATAATTTATATTTTAAATATATTCTTTACTTTTTGAAATTTTTGAAATTTTAATATATAAAATTTCGAAATTTTTTTAAATTTTCCAAATTTAATATATTTTTTTAATATCAAAAAAATATATATTAAAATGTCGAGAGAGTCCGGTAGAAGGTCCGTGGATATGGGCGACGTGAACCGAAGATTGAGTAAAGGCAAAGCTAAAGCCACCTCTGACGGTTCAACCTCACGCGGACGCGGTTCTCGAGGAAGACACTCTGTCTCTTCCTTTCCTACTATCCCCGATCACTTAATCGGGGACGCTATGACGGATGAAGAATTCGAACAGATTTATTCTGGTAGAGGGGACACTAATCTCCCCACTCTTGATAGTGTATTCGAAGATCTTGATGAAGCAAGACTGGATAATCTAGACAGGGACGAGGAGCCTACACCACAGAGCAACGACGTCGGCGTGGAGGCAGGTGAGCTCGAGACCTCTCGAGGTCCGGACAAAGGTAAAAAAAATATAAATCAGATTTATTTGTTTATCATTTTGACAAAGACACAAAAAATGGCATAGTTTATGAAACTTGTAAACATCGCGGGACTGTCATAAAAATGGGAGTTTCCGGCGGTTATGGCGGTCCGAAAAAACACCTAAGGTCGAGGAATCTCGTGGAGTACGCGAAATACGAGGCAAAAAAGAATGGACGACAAGAAGTGCAAACCCAAATTTCTCGGTTTGTTAACAGAGGTAAGGGCGGCCTTTTTTGCTTATAGCGACGAGCAAAATAAGAAAAAAATGGCCGAAATGATTTGTGAAGAAAATTTGCCATACATGTTTTCTAAAAAACTTGGTTTTTTTGATTATTGTCAACAAGCATTAAACCCTCAAGCACAAGGTTTTTCAAGAAAAACAATTAAACGAGAAATTATTCGCCAGTATAAAATGGAAAAAATTATTTTGGCAATTTTTTTTCTCAATTTTAATTCTCGTGTTGCTATTTGTTCTGATATTTGGGGTGAAACTTATCATAATTTGTCTTATATGGGTGTTACTTGTCATTGGATAGATAGTGATTGGATTATGCATAAACGTGTTCTTGCATTTCGTGATTTCAATGATCAGCATACTACTGAAAATATTTTTCTATTGCTTCAGAGTATTCTGCGGGAATATAACTTATCTGAAAAAGTTTTTTCATTTGGTTTTGATAATGCTACTAATAGTACTGCTGATATTCCTAGACTTAGAGAAATTTGCCCACCGTCTACGACTATGGGTAGATTTCTGCATCAACGGTGTGCTTGTCATGTTTTAAATTTATGTGTTCAACAGAGACTAGAAGCTATGGGCAGAGTTTTGACAAATATTAAAGAAGGAATTAAAAAAATTGGGGGACTCGTCTTATTTCGAGGTCCTGGAAGATGTTCTGTAAGTCTAAGGGTAAAAAAGAAATAAGTTTTTGCAAGAGATATCAACATTAGATGGAATAGTACTTACAAATTGATTGCACTGATCCTATGATATAAAGAGGAACTTGCTGAATTTTTTAGGGATGAACTTCGTATAATCATTAATCCTTTTGAATTTGTTATTGTTGAAAAATTGAATGCCATATTAGAAGTTTTTAATAACGCAACTCTTACTTTTTCCCATGTTTACCAACCAACTACAAATACATTTTTTAAAGAGTGCATTACAATCGCAACATGTTTTTGTGAAAGTATGGCTGATCCAGATTTGTACCCTTATGTCTCTCCTATGAGAGATAAATGGTGTACTTATTATTTGTACATTCTTGATATTTATAAAATAGGTATTATTTCTGATCCACGATTTAAGATTGAAAATTTTAAAATTCTAATTGAGTATTACTACAGTTGTTTTTTAGATAAAAATAATTATTACTACAGCTATTTAGTAGAATGGAAAAATGAAAGAGATAATGCTACAACTCTTTTTGAAGATTTGTTTAAGGAATATCAAGGGTTATACGATACTGTACAAGAAGAAACAGCACCACCTCCGCCCCCGAAATCAAAAAAAGGTTTTGCCGGAATAGTCGGTGGCCTTCTTGCAAAGAAAGGGAAGCGTGCCCAGTCTTCGACGAGTTCAAGTGGTACAACAGTAAGCTCGCACAACGAACTTGCTATGTACCAGGGTGTGCCATGCGATTACGATAACGACGACATCGATTTTGACGTGCTCGGATGGTGGAAGCGGAACGAACACATGTTCCCATGTCTCGGCATGCTAGCAAGACAAGTGTTGTCCGTCCCGGTATCAACCGTAGCAGTTGAACGAGAATTCAGTGCTGGCGGCAACATTCTAACCGACTACCGAAGTTGTCTTAACGCTGAATCTGTTGAAACACTGGTTTGCAACCAAGATTGGCTCTTGGCAAGACGTCGGGCTCAAGAGTCATCGTACCAACTCGAATCGGAGCATTACATGAATGCAACTACAGATGGAAGTCCGAGTTCTGAAGAATAAGTTATAAATTTTTTTTATGTTAATGTAAATATGTAATTAGTTTTTTTAAGTGAGCGATATATAAGCTCCTTCGAGGGTTTCTTTATGGTTCTTTACCTCGTCGCTTTTTTTGAACCGTCAGGATATTAAATGTGGTTGTTCTTCAGTTAGTGTATTACTCATTTTCAATATTTAAATAACAACTACATTTTTAGATTTTTTATTTTATTCTTTCCTTAAACAACTGCAAATTTACAATTTTATACTTTAAAAATTTAAAAAAAAGCAAAAAAAAATAATAGGGGGGGCGAACCCGGCCGGTCCGGGAACCGGAACTGGTACCGGCCAGCACGGTGACGGTTCCGGTGACATGGGGTGGCGGTACCGGAACCGTACCGTGTCCACCCCTATTTCGGGCCACCCATGCATATGGCTAATATTGGGTAGGCAAATGAGGTGACTCATCATTGATTTATTGATTACTAAGGAATATGGTAACGAATGGAGGGATCACATCATGGAATCACATTAAGGAAAATGCTCTCTCCCTTCAAAATTTAATTATAAATTGGAATTTAGGAGATAGAAATTTTTATTTTTTCAAATTATGTTATTTACAAATTGGTTTGATGATAAAAAATAAAAATTACATATTTCGTATTTAAAAACTATGTTAAAAGTTCTACACAACAAGTGGTGACAAGAATATTTTATTTTTTCAAATAATTAATGAAAACATACAAACAAACAAAAGTTATCGAGAGAGAGAAAAAAATTGTAATCAAAATTGGAACGGAGTACTAGAATAATTCCATTCACGCGAAAAAACAATACGCCCTTAGTCCTCAAAATTTCTTTCGTGTTAGGTTAGCAAGGTTTGAATGAATTTATTTTCAATTCAATATATTTAATATAAGTGAAGAATTTAAAAATATTATAAATTTAAAAACTACATCAAGAGTTCTACAAAATAAAATGTGACATGATTATATTATTTTACCAAATAACTAACGAAAATAGATTTAAAAAATGATTAAAGTTATTATTACCATATGAATATTGAGTGGAAATAAATTTTTCGGACGATTCACAAAAAAGAAAATGTTAATAGCCTATTGTTTTCAAAATAAATTTATTTTATCAATAAAAATTATCTAAAACATTAATGTTATACTTCATTTGTCCCTGGAAATTTTTCTTCTTTCATTTTTCAGCCGTTCCAAAAAAACTTTCTCATGTTTATTGAAAAGTCACTATTACCCTTATTAATTCTTGACATATGTATACATCACATCTATTCACTATTAATCTATTTATCAAATCTCACATTTATCCATCATATCCAAGAATACTTTTAGAAACTCAATACTAAAATTCACTTCTCTTAAATCCTTTAAAAATCAAAAGATCCCATATTATTCGTAAACAAAGGATTTATCATGACACGGTTTACACCTTTCCATGTATACGTAGTACTCCCTCCGTCCCATAAAGATATGAACATTTGACTAAAGTGGTAAAATAAGGGAGAGATAATTTTTTGTTAATTTTTCAAATATACCTTAGATGTGATGTGTAGATTATTAGAAAAAACGTATGATCTGATAGGTAAGACATGAAAGAGTGAGGGGTAAAAGTGGTTTTTAATAAAAATGGAAAAAACTTTTAGAGACATGATTTCTTTGAAATGTGAAGTACTTCCTAGGATGGAGGGAGTATACACTACAACTACAAAAAATCTTTTCCACTTTCTTTTTTCTCGTTCGATCTAAAAAACTTGGCTTTTAATTTCTTTTAAAACAAAGAATTTGTGGTTAAGAAAATTTCTCTTCTCTCTTAACTAATTCTAGCCATAATTTTTTTATTTTATTTAGCATTTTCTTAAAATCTATGAAAGTCAAATTGAAAACTTTCTATGTGACCATAATGTATGTTAAGTATACAAAAAATAGTAGTGTGTGTGTATATAATCCGTATGTGTGTGTATATTATATATATATATATATATATATATATATATATATATATATATATATATATATATATATATATATATATATATATATATATATATATATATATATAGACACACACACACACATATATGTATGTGTTGATTTAGTAATCCAACTCAACTGAATAATTGTATACATGGGTGTTTATATAGGTGAGAATCCCTACATGAATTAGGATTCACCAAATATGGAAACTAACATAAATAACAATTCTACCATAACTACACTTCTTGCCATATATGCCTAACATCCCCCCTCAAGCTGAACGTCGTGAAACGAGAGGAAGCTTGGCAACTAGTGTGGAGTAGCGTGGTGAAGAGAGAGCCTTTGTGAGAAGATCCGCTAACTGCTCACTGGAAGGAACATAGGAGACTGTCATTTTTTCGGCAATTACCTGTTCGCGTACAAAGTGACAGTCGGTGCCGACATGCTTCATGCGTTTATGGAACACTGGATTCTTGGTTAGGCAGATGGTGGATTGGTTGTCGCAGAGTAGGTGTGGAGGAGGTAGCTTAATTTGCAAAATATCAAACAAATAGGTGATCCACATCACCTCTGCTGCTGCGGCCGAGAGGGCCCTGTACTCGGCCTCGGTGGATGAGCGAGAGACACGACTCTGTTTTTCCGTACTCCAAGAGATTAAATTATGCCCAAGATATATCAAATAACCTGTAACAGACCGTCCATCTGTCATATCATTGGCCCAGTC